TTTATGGGCAAAAATTCCAATAAGGAGTCAACTGACAATTTCAGCCATATTTGACACGTTTGTAGATCTTGTCTTGCTGATCATTTTTGCTATTTAAAGTTTCTATCTATCTATTATAGTTTTCAACAATGCAAAAACACATACAATTGGTAGACGTCGTAATTAAATGGCAATCACTCCACTCAGAAGTCAACTGACAATTTACACCTTGTTGAATCATTTGTAGATCTTGCCTTGCTGATCGTTTTGCTATTAAAAGTTTCTATCTTTCAAGAAAGTGACAAATATGAAAAAATAAAATGCTTCGCTGAGAGCAGCCTGATACGACCGCAGAGGTCGAGCCCTAAACAGTTGGAGAAAATTTTGATATAATATTCAAGCTTGATACTGTCTGAATTTTGATTGTGATCAAATTTTTGACATAATATAGGTTTCTGACACAAAATAAATGTGGTAAAAGATCTTAAAAATCTATTGCGCAATACTGTTCAATTGAAGATTACTTCTTGAATCTTTTACAAAATTTGAAATTTGAAAATTTTTGAAAAAAACATGAATTCCTTAAAAAAATTGGACCCCCCCCCCACGCGACTTTTGGAATCCCCCATTGGAGCAATTACCCCAAGACTCGATCCAATTCTTTCCTTTGTAGTATGGAACCTTGTAGTACAATTTCAGAGTGATCCATACACATCTAACACAAGTTATTGTTTGGAAACTAGAATAATGCATGTTTTTGGCCCCTTATTCCTACATAATTGAGGCAATTACCCCCAAACTCAATCCCAGCCTTCCCTATGTGATATGGAACCTTATGGTACAATATCAGAGAGATCCATACACTTACACACAAGTTATTGTCTGGAAACTACAAAAATTGTTGTCTTTGGCTCCTTTTAGGCCCTTAATTCCTAAACTGTTTGCCCCATAACCCCTAATATGAATCCCAACCTTCTACCTGTGGTATTAAACATTGTTGTACAATTTCAGAGCAATCGAAATACTTATACTTAAGTTATTATCCTGAAACTAGAAAAATGTTTGTTTTGGGCCCCTAATTCCTAAACGGTTGGGACCATCATCCCCAAAATCAATCCCAACTTTCCTTTTGTGGTATTGAACCTTCTTAAATAAATGTGGATAGTGTCCACATGTGGACACAGATGATTCCCCCGCTTGCATATCCGGATGATATAGTTATAAAGGGACATAACTGAAGAACGGTAAAAGTGACGCTACCCAAATTTAAACTTGATCTGAGTTTTGTGGTACTAAGCATTGTGTGTAAGTCTCATAACATTTGGTTGAGGCTAACTTAAGTAGAGAACAGAAACTAAAAATTCAGGAATTTTTCCATTTGTAAATACGCATAACTCTTGAATGGTTGTGTATAAGTTTTATAACATTTGGTTGAGACAAACTAAAGTTAGAGAACGGAAACGAAAAATTCAGCAATTTTTATGTTTATAAAGGAACATAACTCAAGAATGGTAAAAGTGTCGCCACAAAATTTCGTACTTAATCTGTATTATGTAGTAATACGCATTGTGTATAAGTTTCTTAACATTTGGTTGAGGCAAACTAAAGTTAGAAAACGGAAACAAAACATTAAACTGAGTTTTGTGGTAACAAGCATTATATATACATTTCATTACATTAATTTAAGACAAACTCAAGTTAGAGAACGGAAATGAAAAATTCAGCAATTTTTTCATTTGTAAATGGGCATAACTCTAGAACAGTAATCAAAGTGCTTGTAAGCACGGAATGGTAAAGATTGCTTTAATTTATCAGTAGGAAGTAAAATTGAATATTGCATTGTATAAAGCATTGGTTGTAGTTGATTCAACTACCATTATGCACAAAGAAAGATAACTCCAATTTTCAAAGAAGACTTTAAAATATTTTTAGAAATGAAGGGTAAAAATTGCTTTAATTTTTCAGTGGAAGGTAAAATTAAACATTGCATTGTATAAAGCATTGATTGTAGTAAATTCAACTATAATCATGGACAAAGATAGATAACTCCAATTTTAAAAATACTTGATATTTAGAAAAAAAATGAAAAATTCAGCAATTTTTCCATTTGTAAAGGGCATAACTCTAGAACGGTAAAAGTGACGCCACCAAAATTCAAACTTGATCTGTATTTAGTGGTAATAAGCATTGTGTATAAGTTTCATAACATTTGGTTGAGGCAAACTAAAGTAAGAGAACGGAAACCAACTTTGGGACGTACGTACAGACGGACAAGGGTAAAACTTAATGCCCCCTCCGCTAGGGCGGGGGCATAAAAATTTCATAGAGGTCCATTAACTTAAACTTAAGTTATTGTCTGGAAACCAATGTCTCTAGGGTCGATGACGCAGACGACGACGACATCATACCATTATATGATCGCAAAAAATTTTTTGTGGTCGTATAAAAATTGGTAATTCATCATTTTAGGGCAATAACTCGTACAAGAAGTCATCTGACAGTGTTGATGTAATCAGACAGAAGTTAGATCTTACATTCAGTACATTTTTGCCATCAGATTTTCTTTATCTACAGCAGTTTTCAAGATGATAAGACAAAACTAGCATTTTATCCCTATGTTCTATTTTTAGCCATGTCAGCCAAATTGGTTGGCAGCGGGGTAATGGGACACATTTTTTAAACTAGATACCCCAAGGATGATTGTGACCAATTTTGGTCCAATTGGACCATAGTTTCAGAGGATAAGATTTTTGTAAAAGTTAACAGACGCAAAATGATGAAAAAAGCCGGGTCAGATGAGATAACAAGAGGCTCTCATGAGCCTGAATCGCTCACCTGCATTTCAGAGGAGAAGATTTTTAAATGTTAGCAAACTTGATGAACAAATTGTGTAAAATTGTCTTTAAAGGGCAATAACTCCTTAAGGGGTCAATTGACAATTATGGTCATATTAACTTTTTTGTAGATCTTACTTTGCTGAACATTATTGCTTCTTACAGTTTATATATATCTATAATAATATTCAAAATAATAACAAAAAACTGCAAAATTTTGTTAAAACTACCAATTCGGTGGCAGCAACCCAACAATGGGTTGTTTGATTCGTCTGAAAATTTCAGAGCTGATAGATCTTGACCAACTGAACAATTTTACCCCATGTCAGATTTGCTCTAAAAGCTTTAGTTTTTGAGATATAAGCCAAAAACTGCATTTGACCCCTATGTTCTATTTTTAGCCATGGCGGCCATGTTTGTCGATGGATCAAAACTTCGGATACAATTTATAAACTAGATACCCTAAAGAACATTTAATTAAAGTTTGAAGGTATTTGGCCCAGTAGTCAGAGAAGATTTTTGAAATAGTTTACGACGACAGACGACGACGACAGACGCCGGACGCCAAATGATGGCATAAGCTCACATGGGGCCCTTCGGGCCCCGGTGAGCTAAAAAGGTGATATGGGAAAATCTGCCAATCAGAATTAAAAATTGTCTCTTGCAACCATGTTTTTTCTTTTAATCAGACCAAAATGAGAATTTAGGAGGACCTACAAAGTTGGGTAAATAAACTGTTGACACAGAGATATGTCTCGCCTTTTCGCTATTTTGATAGTATAATGCAAATATTGAGTCCAAATGGCAATATTTAAACATATAGACTTTTTATAAACTATGCAAAACATTCAAAGTCAATGAACCATGACTTAAGGTGCAGGAACAAATAATAGCCATTGAAATGAGAAATGCCAATGCTAATAAAACTGCATACCAAATACCATTGACTTATCAAAAGTGGTTCCCTTAATACTAACCTAAACACAAACTTTAATTTGTAAACAGTGCATAAGTTTCAAAGTCATTGAACCTTGATAGGGGATGGGGCCAAATAATCTCCATGAAAAAGGAGACTTCAAATGCTAATACTATCATTAACTTAACATTAGTTGTTCCTCTTAAACTGATCTAATCACAAATTTAAACATGTAAACTATGCAAACATTCAAAATCAATAGACACTGACTGAGGGGGTGGGACAAAACAATCTCCACGGAAATGTGATGTGCCAATGCTAATACAACTAACTGCATACCAAATACATTGAATAACCACTAGCGGGTCCCTTTGAACTGACCTAATCACAAAATATTACATGTTAAGTAAGCAAAAGTTTTGAAGTCAATAGACCATGACTGAGGGGGTGAGCCAAATAATCTCCAGGGAAATGTGATGTGCTAATGCTAATACAACTGCATACCAAATCATTGACCTACCACTAGTGGTTCCACATAATCTGACCTAATCACAAACTAATACTTTGTGTACAACGCTGCCGCGGGAAACAGCATACCTAAGTGTCGCTTTTTGACTCCTTCAAGGCGAGACAAAATATCCATGTAAATTTCAATGAGAACTATGTCCCTGCAATAAATTAATTAATTCTGCCATATTTGGCCAAACGATTTCAGTGAAGAAAATGAAAATGTGAAAAGTTAATGGATGAGGACAATGGACATCAAGTGTTGGCAATAACTCATATGGTATTACAAACCAGGAGAGCTAATTGTTTATCGTGTGCACAGTATGTGTTTCTGGAATAACTTTCATCAGGTACAATCTAGACCAAAGTTAAGGGAATAAATCTAAAGCATTTTAGAGCATTGAAACCAAATTGACTAAATCAAGAAATTAGATTATCTGATACTATTGTGAGTGCATTCAATATATTACTGATTTATCATTTGTGGTTCTTAATCACAAATTAACATGTAAACTTTGCAAAAGTTGCAAAGTCACTGTAACTTGATGGAGCGGGGGTCTAGTAAGTCCCCTGGAAATACAGCAAACTTATACAAATACTTACAGGTATAAAAGACTAATTCACAAGTGGTCCTTTTCAAAAACTTACACAATTTCTGACACCAGAAATATAACACCTATATCTTACTTTCTGGAATTTTTGCATTTAAAGCAATAAAACCATATACATTTATAAGGAAATTTAGTTAGAATATGAACACAATGTTTTCTTTATTTATGCATTTTATTATGTAAAAATGAAGGAAAATGAAGAATCTAAAACATTCCAAAATATTGTATGATCTCATCTGTCAGTCACCTTCTTCGAAAACTTTAACAAAAGGTCATGAACTTCCTTTGCACAGCTGATCTGTTGTTTTGTAATTTGTAAATATTGTGAATATTGTAAAGATTGTCCCTCGGGAAGCTGGTTGTTGTCTTTGGGTACATTTACTTGCAATGGCAAAAACTTGGAACTGTCAGCATTCTGTTGTACACTTTCTAAATTCAACCTCTGAAAAAAGTTTATACATATTTGAGTCAAAATCCATTTACAGAAAATGTTTTACAACAAACACATTTTCTCTGCTGATATTGTTTAATGGCATATTTATATTTATGCAGTGTCCATTTTGCTCAGTAGAGTCAAAGTTTCAGTTGTTCCTATTTCTTTAATTCAGTACCTAGTGATCAATGGTGATATGAATAGTTTTTATGAATAAAAGGAGATGTGAGATATATATCAATTAGACAGCAACTTATCAACAAAAATTAATAAAATGCTCCGCTGGATGCAGCTTGATACGACCGCAGAGGTCGAACCCTGACCAGTTGGGGCAAGTATGGATACAACATTCAAGCTTGATACAGCTCTGAATTTTGATTGTGATTAAATATTTGACACAGCATAGGTTTCTGACACAGAATGAATGTGGTCACCGTCTAAGAACAGTGTCTCGCCTACTTTTGCTGTTAATCTCGATACACTTTTTTTATTGTAAGAAGCTTCTGTTCAAGTTTGGTAAAAATCCAGGATAGTTTATGAATCTAATAAATGTTTTAAAAAATTTAACTTCAGACTGTATGTAATGTTAACTGGAAGAAAAACTAAGTCCATTTATAAGTAAAATATGGATAAACAAGTACAAAATTTTAACAAAAATTTCCTTCTAGATACTAGCTTTTGATCATAAACAAACTTCTGTCCATGTTTGGTACAAATCCAGGATAGTTTAAGAAAGTTATTAAAATTTTAAAAAACTTTAACCACAGAGTGAATGTAATGTTTCCTGGCAGAAAAACTAAGTCCATTTATAAGTAAAATACGAAAAAACAGGAATTTTTTTTTTACAAAATTTACTTCTGGATACTATCTTATGATCATAAACAAGCTTCAGTCCAAGTTTGGTACAAATCCAGGATAGTTTAAGAAAGTTATTAAAATTTAAAAAAAAAATTAACCACAGAGTGAATGTAATGTTTCCTGGCAGAAAAACTAAGTCCATTTATAAGTAAAATACGGAAAAACAGGATTTTTTTTTTTTAAATTTAATTCTGGATACTATCTTATGATCATAAACAAGCTTCTGTCCAAGTTTGGTAGAAATCCAGGATAGTTTGAGAAACTTATTAAAATTTTAAAAACTTTAACCACAGAGTGAATGTAATGTTAACTGGCAGAAAAACTAAGTCCATTTATAAGTAAAATACGGAAAAACAGGAATTTTTTTTTTAACAAAATTTACTTCTGGATACTTTCTTATGATCATAAACAAGCTTCTGTCCAAGTTTGGTAGAAATCCAGGATAGTTTAAGAAAGTTATTAAAATTTCAAAAACTTTAACCATAGAGTGAATATTTGTGGACGCCGCCGATGCCGACGGAATGTAGGATCGCTATGTCTCACTTTTTCTACAAAAGTCAAAGGCTCGACAAAAATGCTTGTTTTTTGGCCCCTTTTTGGCCCCAAATTCCTAAATGTTTAGGGCAATTACCCCCAAACTCAAACCCAGCTTTCACTCTGTGATATGGAACCTTGTAGTACAATTTCATAAAGATCCATACACTTACACACAAGTTATTGTCCTGAAACTAGAATAAACAGCTGCGCAATGAGCGCATGATACGCCCGTCGTCTTGTGTTTGAATTTTTATGCAATAAGCATAAATAGTTTCTGACATACGGCGTGACATGCGAAAACCCCCTTTTTTTTTCAAAAAACTAAATATCTCTTAAATAAAATTTTGAATCAAAATCAAAAAGTATACAGATCTTTAGATTAATAAAACTAAGAAGTGTGTAAAATTTTAAGCGATAATCATAAATCGTTTTTTGAGATACGGTGCGACATGTGAAAAAACACTTCCCCCTTTTTTTATAAAATACTCAATAACTCAAAAATAAAATTTTGAATCATCACCAAAAAGTATACAGATCTTAAGGTTAATATAACAAAGAAGTGTGTAAAGTTTTAAGCAATAATCATAAACTGTTTTTGAGATACGGCGCGACATGTGAAAATCCCTCCCCCTTTTTTAACAAACTTTTTTAACAAAATACTCAATATCTCTAAAATAAAATTTTGCATCATCACCAAAAAGTACACAGATTTAAGATTAATATAACTAAGAAGTGTGTAAAGTTTTAAGCAATAATCATAAATTGTTTTTGAGATACGGCGCGACATGTGAAAAAAAACACACACCTGTTTTAGTTACTAAGTCCCGTAACTCAAAAAGTTTTAATCATATTTTCACCAAAAAGTATACAGATCGTTTGACCATCATAAGAAACAACTATGTTAAGTTTCATGAAATTTGGATAAGTCATTCTCAAGTTACGGTGCGACATGTTTACGCCGGACAGACAGACGGACGGACACCGGACATTTGTATACCATAATACGTCCCGTTAAAAATTGACGGGCGTATAAAAAGACGGACAGACAGACAAACGGACACTGGACATTTGTATACCATAATACGTCCCGTCAAAAATTGACAGGCGTATAAAAATGCTTGTTTTTTACCCCTTTTTGTCACCTAATTCCTAAAATTTTGAGGCAATTACCCCCAAAATCAATCCCAGCCTTCCCTTTGTGGTATGGTACCTTGCAGTACAATTTCAGAAAGATCCATACACTTGAACACAAGTTATTGTCTGGAAACTAGAAAAATGCTTATTTTTGGCCCCTTATTCCTAAACGTTTTGGGCAATTACTTCCAAACTCAATTCCAGCTTTCCCTTTGTGATATGGAACCTTGTAGTACAATTTCAGAAAGATCCATACACTTACACACAAGTTATTGTCATGAAACTTTTTTGCCCCTTTTTTGGCCCCTAATTACTAAAATTTGGGGCAATTACCCCCAAAATCAATTCCAGCATTCCCTTTGTGATATGGAACCTTATGGTACAATGTCGACGACGACACCGACGTCATACCAATATAATTTTGCGGTCGTATAAAAATGAAATCTTAATGTCAATATACAGTCTTTACAATAGACAGGTGTCTATACAATAAGTCAGGAGTCGGTTTCACAAAAAACTTACGACTAAGATTGATCGTAAGTATACTGAATTGTTCATGACTTATGATTAATCTTAGTCGTAAGTTTTTTTGTGAAACTGACTCCTGGCTCTTAAATGTCCTGAGTCTATAAAGTTGTGAATAAAAAAGAAACAGTCAAAATTGCCATCAACACCAAATTCTCTGAATAACAAATAAAATTTATGACACAAGACAAACACTATTGAGGTTCCTGATTTGGGACAGGCACATAAATACTATATAAAAATAAGCAAATGTGGTATGATTGCCAATGTGACAACTATCCCCCAAAAGTTCAAATAAAGTGGTTGTAAGCAATTATATGCAATAGTAGGGCCTTCGACATTAAGAAAAACCCATACCATATAGTTGGCTATAAAAAGCCCAACATGAGAAAAGTTTTTTTATTTGCATTTACTGACAGCAAGCTCAACATGCTCAAAGCTGACCGACATGCTAGATAGATATTCCAAGATAGAACCTGGTAGAAATTTTAACAAATTCCTGTTTTTCTTTATAATGAGTGTCTATACAAAATGTTCAACTTTAAATCTCCCATTTAAGTCTAGAAAGAATGTGAATAAATTAAAACAGACTATAAAAGATCTTCTGAAGACATCAAATTTATTTAAAAACAAAAGAATTCAGATATAATAGCAGACAATGTTATTCTATGTACTTTTAAGGAAAGGGTTGAGTGGTAAAAAACCCTTTTAATCCTGTCACATGTTTATGTCTCTGTCCCAAGTCAGGACCATTGTAAGAGTTGTCTTTAGGTTAATATTATGATTTGGTCCTACAGCAATTTTTTTGTGTCGATGCTAAGTCTTGATTGTCTGCTAAATCCATTAACAACTTTACAAGGTGTAATACCATCAAATCAGAGTACGTCACATCCGGTTGCATACAAAAATAGGTTGAAAAAAAATATTCCCTTGAATTTGACAGTTGTAGGTAATTAATCCTACATTTCATTGCAGTAAAACATTTCTGGGTCATAAACATATATCTTGGGTATTCAAAAGTACCATTATTTTTTTATTTGGGGTTTCTATAGAATATTTTGAGAACTTGAGGTTACATGCATGGTTACTAAAGCTTGTACACAGGTTAATAAAAGGGGAAAATTTGATTGGTTAACTTCCAGTGATGGTTATTTTCTTGTATGCAATGAAATGTTATGTGAAATTTTTTCTATAGTACTGGACAGGATAAGACTTTACTCATGCCAAGTATTTCTTTATTTGAAAGAGAGATAAATTCTGCACAATTTTTTGAAAAGTGCAAATTTAACAAAGACTAATAGGGGAAAATCAATGGTGGTATTACACCTACAAGATAGACATGATATTGTAATTTGTAATATTTATCATTTATAAATAATATTATATATTTTGTCCTCAGATTTCTCAACAGACATTTAATTGTTATTATAATTGCTTCATTAAAAGTAAAAGTGATTGCTGAATTTTAAGTCAGACAAATAGGTTTCATGAATATTCCACAACTTACTAGATTAACTTCCAATTGATCACATATTGAGTAAAATTCTTCAAGAGTTCTTTCAAGTCTTTGTTGCTGACCTTCTATCGATTTTCTGAAAATTACAAAAAATCATTAAATTAGTTCATACAGTAAACAAGAGGCTGTCAGAGTGACAGCAAACCGGATTTTCCTGCAGAGGTGGAACCCTGAACAGTTGAGCAAGTATGGACACAACATTTAAGCTTAAAACAGCTCTGAATTTGGATTGTGATTGAATATTTGATACAGCATAGGTTTGTGACACAAAATAAATGTGGTCAAAGAACTGAAAAATTTGAAATTGGACATTTACCTATTATGGTCCAATATCCAAAATCTAAGTACGTTGTTAGAATCAAGTTATCAAAGAACCCCAAAAATACAATTTTTGATGAACTACTTATTACTTAAAACAATTTCTGTTCAAAGGGAAATAACTCAATCACATAATAAGTAAATTTCTGGTTTCTAAATGGGTCCAAAATTCAAGAACGAGAAAAGCTGAAGTCGTGAAAATTGAACTTGACCTACATTTAGTCACAGGAAACAACATATCAAAATTTGAAAAATTTCATCAAAGCGTTTTCATGTAAATGAACGGACACTGTTTGGTAGCCACCCGCTTGCTGTACATCCCCAAATCAATAACCGATTTTTCTTTCGAAAACGATTAAATATAAATGTTTTGCACATAAAAGTTCCTAAAATTAGTTTCATCCATTTTCACTGAACTAGTACACATTTTTGTTTAGGGGCCAGCTGACACCTGCCTCCAGGTGCAGGATTTTGTCGCTGTGTTGAAGACCCATTGGTGGCCTTTGGCTGTTTTTCTGCTCTTTGGTCAGGTTGTTGTCTCTTTGACACATTCCCCATTTCCATTCTCAATTTTACCTACTGCATTAATAAGATTTAAAACATAGAGATTAGGTGTTACAGTAGGGACATTAAGTTTTATCCTCCACCTAACAAGATTCTAATAAACTTGAATTTATATTGGTGAACCAACACCTGAAGTAGTAATCGTGCGGTTGGGTAATAGTGGGTGGATACCGAAAGGTATTCACAGTTGTCTTTCACTAGATAAGTAAAAAACACGATAATAAAGACAACACCCATCAATTACCACATGGTAAGAGTTTATTCTGGTCGACATGTTTTGCCATCAAGCATGGCGTCTTCAGGACAATATTACATATGAAATCAAACAGTGAAGTACAAATTCGGCGGTTCATGTGGTTCGCCGGAAGTAATGTTACAATAATGGTTGTTATGATTCTAATAAGTTAGTTGACAACCAAATAAAATGTATTACAGAATTCAATAGTATAATTACTGACCATGCATTTTTTTATTACATCTTAACTTAAGTGATTCATGAATTTGTTAAATGCTATGCATTTCATAATTGTCATTTCTCAATTATTTCCAAAAATAATTGACAGATAATGATTTTATTCAATGGCTTTAATTGGCAAAACAAGATGTGATAGATCTAATACTATATCCTTAACCACCCACAGAAGTTTTAGTCATACAATAGCAATTTTCATCATCATTTTAATTTTTTGTTATTATACTCCCGCTCCAAAATGAGGCGTATACTGTTTTACCCATCTGTCTGTCTGTCCATCTCATTTTTCAAAGGTAATCAGAGCTTTATGTGAGCATGCTGTACTGTTTAATGTGTTTTCAGTTTTATCCTTCATCAACTGCCTGTTCACCGAACACAAAATGGCCACATATGAAATTTTCATCACATTTTTTTAGGAAACTTCAAATAAGAGCTACTTGATTTTTTTCATCAGGATCATGTCAACATGCTTTATTGTGTGAGAGTGTTTCAAATTCACTGCTCATCAGGTTTCTGTTTACCAAATACTTGCATACTCTTAACACATAATGGTCATGAACAGGTATGGAATTTTCTAGCATTTTTCTAAGGAACTACATATAAGAGCTTCCTGAAATTTGTTATCAGGTGTCATGTGAACTTGTTATAATGTGCCCTACATTATCCATTGCTTTTGATCTTCATATTTACAGAATATTTAAAGCAAGGGTATCATTAGTGAGTAATAGCTCATAGTTCTACTTGTTCTCATACAACAGCAAGGGGTTGAGATGTCTTTAGCACAGGGTTTATATTTCTTTTTTTTTTGCGAGGCAATATTAACATGATCAATTGGATACATGTACCTATAATCTTGATTTCTTCATCTTATAGAAGAAGAAAAAAACAGCCAGTGATATATTTCTTTTCAAACATACATGTGCAAATAAGCAATGCAAACTATAGTATATCTATAGTCATACTTAACAATCAACATTTCTTCTACAAACAAATCTGAGATCGATATACAGTGTGTACTTACAAAGAGTCATCTGTGGTGGCATTCTGGTGTAGTAATTGGCCAGCAATTTTCATTAAATTCTGAAAAAAATATATATAAAATGAATAAATAGCCATCTCAGTCATGTTTTAACAAATGAACAGTAATAAAAATGTTCACTTTATACAACTTTTAAACTTGATCATTATTAAAGAACTATGATAGACTTTATTTTTATGCAAACTTAGTGAAACATATATGTTATTTGTGCACTCTATCAGAGATCAGTGCAGTTTTTAGTTACAGCAGGAATTTACTTCTCACAAATTTAATAAAATGCTCCGCAGGGCGCTGCTTGATACGACCGCAGAGGTCGAACCCTGAACAGTTGGGGCAAGTATGGACACAACATTCAAGCTTGATACAGCTCTGAATTTGGATTGTGATTAAATATTTGACACAGCATAGGTTTCTGACACAGAATGAATGTGGTCTAAGAACTTAAAAATTTTTAAATTGGACATTCACCTATTATGGTCCAATATCCAAAATCTAAATACATGGTTAGATTCAGCATATCAAAGAACCCCAAGAATTCAATTTTTGATGAAATCAAACAAAGTTTAATTTTGGACCCTTTTGACCTCAATGTGAACAAAGTTGATAACGGGGCCCAAAAATCAAAAATCTAAATACATGGTTAGATTCAGCATATCAAAGAACCCCATATATTCATTTTTTGTTGAAATCAAACAAAGTTTAATTTTGGACCCCGATTTGGACCAACTTGAAAACTGGGCCCATAATCAAAAATCTAAATACATGTTTAGATTCAGCATATCAAAGCACCCTAAGAATTCAATTTTTGTTAAAATCAAACTAAGTTTAATTTTGGACCCTTTGGACCTTAATGTAGACCAATTTAAACACGGAACCAAAAATTAAGAATCTAAATACACGGTTAGATTCAGCATATCAAAGAACCCCAATAATTCAATTTTTGATGAAATCAAACAAAGTTTAATTTTGGACCCTTTGGACCTCAATGTGGACCAATTTAAAATCGGGGCCCAAAAACCCCATTGAAATTAGTCAAGAAATAAGCAATTTATACGAAGTATCTTTTTTTGCACAATACTGTGCTATTGAATATTTCTTGCTATTGCGCAATACTGTACAATTGACAATTTCTTGATATTGCGCAATATTGTGCTATTGGATATTTCTTGCTATTGCGCAATACTGTGCAATTGAAGATTTCTTGCTATTGCGCAATACTGTGCAATTGAAGATTTCTTGCTATTGTGCAATAATGTGCAGTAGAAAATTTCTTGCTATTGCACAATACTTATTATATAATAATTTACACATCCTGTTTGGAATGTATCTCCTACCATATCATTATTATTTGCTTTTAAATATAAATCAGAAATAACCAACTTAAAATGGAAAATTTTAAAAGAAAAAAAAAAAGGAAAAAAAGAAAAAAAAGGAAAAAAAAAAAAAATCTCCCCCCCCAAATTTTTTGAACCCCCTTATGATTCATCACCCCCTAACTCAATCCCAGCCTTCCCTTTGAGGTATGGTACCTTGCAGTACAATTTCAGAGAGATCCATACACTTGAACACAAGTTATTGTCTGGAAACTAGAAAAATGTGTTTTTTGGCCACTTTTTGGCCCCAAATTCCTAAACTTTTAGGGCAATTACCCCCAAACTCAAACCCAGCTTTCCCTTTGTGATATGGAACCTTGTAGTACAATTTCAGAAAGATCCATACACTTACACACAAGTTATTGTCATGTAACTAGAAAAATGCTTGTTTTTTGCCCCTTTTTTGGTCCCTAATTCCTAATATTTTGAGGCAATTACCCCCAAAATCAATCCCAGCATTCCCTGTGTGATATGGAACCTTGTGGTACAATGTCAGAGAGATCCATACACTAACACACAAGTTATTGTCTTGAAACTAGAAAAATGCTTATTTTTGGCCCCTTTTTGGCCCCTTATTCCTAAACGTTTTGGGCAATTACCCCCAAACTCAATTCCATCTTTCCCTTTGTGATATGGAACCTTGTAGTACAATTTCAGAAAGATCCATACACTTACAAACAAGTTATTGTCATGAAACTAGAAAAATGCTTGTTTTTTGCCCCTTTTTTGGCCCCTAATTCCTAATATTTTGAGGCAATTACCCCCAAAATCAATCCCAGCATTCCCTGTGTGATATGGAACCTTGTGGTACAATGTCAGAGAGATCCATACACTAACACACAAGTTATGTCTGGAAGTTACAAAAATGCTTATTTTTGGCCCCTAATTCCTTAACTGTTGGTACCATAACCCACAAAATCAATCCCAACCTTCCTTTTGTTGTATTGAACCTTATGGTAAAATTTCATACAGATCCATACACTTAAACTAAAGTTAGAGTGCGAAAACCAATGTGTCTTCGGACGACGCCGGAAGACGACGACGACGCCAACGTCATACCAATATACGACCGCAAAAATTTTTGCGGTCGTATAAAAACAAGACTACATGTGTTGTAGTGCTAAGCATACCCCCACTTGTAATTCAAAGTATCAGAATACATGAAGCATGTGTCTGGCAGATCTAAATAGCCCACATACTTTACAACTCATCACTGTTAATCTGCTGACCACAAATAAAGTCCTTCGGTTCAGTTGTTTTTGAGAAAAAGAGAAAAATGTGACAACATTTTTTAAGTTCATTCAACATATTGAACATGTTGAAAAATTCAATGTATCTGCAAACAGGAAGTGGGTAACTGTCAAATGAAAAGTGCTCACACGTTACAACTCATTACTGTCAAGCTGCTGACCAAATACATGTATGAAGTCATTCTGTGTAGCAGTTTCTGAGAAAAGTGTTACTAAAATATTGGTAAATAGGATGAAGGAACCAATGAACAGCCAGACAAAGTGATTGCAATTAAAAAATAAATGGGGAATGTGTCCATGGGACACAGATGATGCCCCCGCTTGCATATAACGTTATAAAGGGCCATAACTCAAGAACTGTAAAAGTGACACTACCCAAATTTGAACTTAATCTGAGTTTTGTGGTAATAAGCATTGTTTACAAGTTTCATAACATTTAGTTGAAGTAAACTTAAATTATAGAACAGAAACAAAAAATTCAGCAATTTTTCCATTTTTAAAGGGGCATAACTCTAGAACAGTAGAAGTGACGCCACCAAAATTCAACCTCTATCTGTGTTTTGTGGTAATTAGCATTGTGCATAAGTTTCATAAAATTTGGTTGAGGCAAACTAAAGTTAGAGAACAGAAACAAATATTTCAGCAATTATGAGATTTGTAAAGGGGCATAACTCTTAGAGCGGTAAAAGTCACGCCAACAAAATTCAGACTGGATCTGAGTATTGTGGTAATTAGCATTGTGCATAAGTTTCATAACATTTGGTTGAGGCAAACTAAATTTAGAGAACAATAAAATGCTTCGCTGAGCGCAGCCTGATACGAACGCAGAGGTATAACCCTGTACAGTTGGGGCAAGTTTGGACACAATATTCAAGCTTGATACTGTCTGAATTTGGATTGTGATCAAATTTTTGACATAATATAGGTTTCTGACATAAAATAAATGCGGTCAAAGATCTTAAATATTTGAAGTGATCCATTTAATTTACCTAGAACGGTCTGATATCCAAAATCTAACAACATGGTTAGATTTAGCATATAAAAAATCACCAAAAATTTAATTTTAGTTGAAATCAAACAACTCAGTTTAATTTTGAACCCTTCAAACCAGAATATGGACTAATTTGAAAACAGGGCCCCAAAAAAAATAATCTAAATGCACAATAAGATTCAGCATATCATACAGCCGCAATAATTCAGTTTTTGATGAAATCAAACAAAGTTTAATTTTTGACCCTTTTGACCTCTGTAGACCAATTTAAAAATGGGGCCCGATATCCAAAAAAGTAATACAAGGTTAGAACCCCCAAAAATTAAAGACTTTAAATTAATCCCATTGAAATTGGTTAAAAGATTGTTAAAAGATTTGTATTTATTCGGGATGTCAACTCTGTGAAGATTTACTAATCGAGTACTTGTTGGATTTACCGAGCGATACTCGAGTACTCGATTGGAAAAACATCTACAAAATGGAAACACAAAATTATACCCATTTTACGTATTGTGGGACGTTGTCTTATGGATGTAAACCCTCAATTTTATTACCCAGGACTAGATAGTAGTCCTAGGACATTTATACCATATACTTATTATGTAAGCTGGCAATGATCTAATCAATTAATTAATAAACATCTATAGAAAAAAAGATTACTCAAACAATAGTAATTGGGAATGCTTGTTTTTTTGCCCATTTTTGGCCCCTAATTCCTAAACTGTTGGTACCATAACCCCTAAAATCAATCCCAACCTTCCTTTAGAAGTATTGAACCTTTTGGTAAAATTTCATAGAGATCCATTCACTTAAACTAAAGTTATTGTCCGGAAACCAATTGTGTCTTCAGATGACGACTGCATCATAGCATTATACGACACAAAAAAATTTTTGCGGTCGTATAAAAACTAATATTTCAGCAATTTTTCCATTTGTAAAGGGGCACAACTTAAGAACGGTGAAAGTGACACCACCAAAACTCAAACTTGATCTGTGTTTTGTGGTAATAAACATTGTGGATAAGTTTCATAATATTTTGGTGAGGCAAACTAAAGTTAGAGAACGGAAACCAATTTTGGGACGTACGGACGTACAGACAGACAAGGGTAAAACTTAATGCACCCTCCGCTACGGCGGGGGCATAATGAATATACATCAATGCAGAACCTGATTTTATCAACTTAATATGGTTGTTTCTTGTTTGGTTTTATACTGAGGGTCCATCGAACAGGCTGATGATCAATTTCAATAAAACTGTAACTCTGACAACAGTAATAGGCATGTCCTACACCATTTTGTAGATAATTTAATGTAGAGTAACGAAATAACAAGATTAGTTGGATGGACAACTGCAGAATCAATATGTTACGAAAGTTCATATATCAATATCTCAATGAGCAATTGGGTTCCTTGTGTTAAATTAAGGTAAATAGGTTATTTTTTCAGAGACAAGTGCTAAGGGGGTCTGATAAAATCAAAGTAATGGAAATCACTCATGGAAAGATTGGGAGAGTAGTTTGAATAATTTCAAATCATAGGTATGGTGTGGACAAATAAGAACATTAATATAACACTATTGTTTACAATTGCATTACCTGCAGGTCGTCAGAAGGATAAGCACTTTTTCAGTCGATAAAATGAACTAAATGTGAATCAATGATAGCTGGTCCCTTAATTTGCACAACAATTTTGTTTAAACTATAATTTCATATCTTAACCAAATAATCTTCCCTGTTGCATGTTTCACCTTTCACGTTTTATCTTTAGAAACAGAAGGAATTACCAAATATAGATTCTTCTAATAAAGTTTATCAATTATCCTTGTAGGACATGGGACCAACAGATAGACTTGAAACTAAGATCTATATTGTCTCCAAAATTAATCTAAAAAAGATTGTGTAGGGCATTTTGTAAGTTGAAACATAGGTATACTATTTTTCTCCTCTAAGAATTGCTTATTGATTTTGAAAACAATTATCATGATTATATGTCACTGAAGATAAAATTGTAGAGTGTATTTGAATTCAATTTATAATTTAATTTTTTTCCAGAAAAGGGCATTGGAAATGTACTTTTTCAACATAAACAAATTAAAAAACATATGTTATTGAAATGGGGATTCATTCTTTATTGCAATAATACACTTCCCATAGTCAAATGACTAATATTGTTAAAAGACATTTGATGGGGAATAAACTAAAACAAATTCTGATTGCTCAGGTTAAGAGTTTTTTAATTTTACTTACTGTTTCAAGCCAATAACTGATTAGTGTAACCTTAATTATTTATTAATCACAGATGAGGATTGCACAGATTTATCAAGTAAAATATAGACTTTTACACATTGTGACTTGGATGGAGAGTTGTCTCATTGGCACTCATACCACATCTTCTTATTTCTATTTAATGATGAATACCTTTTTTATATCTAGATTTCAGATTTTTTCTTTACTTTTGAAAAAAAAAGATCTTGTAAATCCTTAATCATTTATCTATTAGACATAATTTATAGAATCACTTTATGTAGTTTAGATCAAAAGTAATAGGCAGTGAATAAATCTATCATTTCTATATATGTATACATTTGTGTATTCAACCAGAGGCTCTCAAGAGCCTGTGTCGCTCACCTGATTCTACTTTGGTTTTGGAAATCATGTAAAAATAGATTAAAATCATAACAGATACCCTAATAATGAGTGAGGCCAAATTTGGTTTAATATTGGTCCTGTAATTTAATAAAAAATCCTGGTGGCCATCTTGAACAGTAAATCGGCAACAAAGTAGCAACACTTCATCAGCACCTCATAAGAAACATTTATGCCATGTTTTGGTTTCATTCCATTCAGTGCACCTCTAGAAGAAGCATTTGTATGTATTTCCCATAGGGTCTTATGTTAAAGGAAGTCCCCCCATTGGCGGCCATCATGGATGAAGGATCAGCTTCAAAGTAACAAAACTTAGTCAGCACCTCATAAGGAACATTCTTGCCATGTTTGGTTTCAATCCATTCAGTATGTGGTTCTCTAAAAGAAGACATTTGTATGTATTGTCCATAGGGTCCTTTGTTAAACATTGTCCCCATCTGGCAGCCATCATGGATGAAGGATCAGCTTCAAAGTAACAACACTCGGTCAGCACCTCAAAAGGAACATGCATGCCATGTTTGGTTTCATTCCATATAATGGTTCTCTAAAAGAAAACATTTGTATGTATTTCTTATAGGGTCCTATGTTAAACTAAGTCCTCCGCTGGGGGCCATCTTAGATTATGGATCGGCTTCATAGTAACAACACTTGGTCAGCACCTCATAAGGAACATTCCTGCCATGTTTGGTTTCATTCCATTCAGTGGTTCTCTAAAAGAAGACGTTTGTATGTATTTCCCATAGGGTCCCATGTTAAACTAAGTCCCCCGCTGGCGGCCATCTTGGATTATGGATCAGCTTCAAAGTAACAACACTTGGTCAGCACCTCATAAGGAACATTCATACCATGTTTGGTTTCATTCCATTCAGTGGTTCTCTAAAAGAAGACATTTGTATGTATTTCCCATAGGGTCCTATGTTAAACTAAGTCCCCCGCTGGCGGCCATCTTGGATAATGGATCAGCTTCAAAGTAACAACACTTGGTCAGCACCTCATAAGGAACATTCATGCCATGTTTGGTTTCATTTCAATCAGTGGTTCTCTAAAAGAAGACATTTGTATACATTTCCCATAGGGTCCTATGTTAAACTAAGTCCCCCGCTGGCGGCCATCTTGGATGATGGATCCACTACAAAGTAACAACACTTGGTCAGTACCTCATAAGGAACATTCATGCCATGTTTGGTTTCATTCCATTCAGTGGTTCTCTAGAAGAAGTTCAAAATGTAAAAAGTTAACGACGATGACGGACGATGATGACGGACGACGGACGCCAAGTGATGAGAAAAGCTCACTTGGCCCTTCGGCCCAGGTGAGCTAAAAATGAGGTCTAGTATTTATGTATTGAGACCTATAATGAAGGGTCTGTTTAATTATGTAAGACTGAGGATGATTAGTAATTTGATCAATATGATCAAGGTGGTATGTTGTAATTAAGGCCCCATCTTTTCTCTAATTGTTTGGTGATCATGGCAGTTGTCAATCATACTCGCGGTATTCATGGTATTGTATCATTAATCTTACCCGATTAAAATAGCCTGCAAATTTACAAAACTTTTAAAGACTTACATATTTCAATGAACTGCTTCAAAGATGTGACCGACATGTTTCACAGTTCATATGTCATGTATTTGCATATGTACACAGACATGAGAATTATAGGAACTATATTTCAGTGTGTATACACTTTGTAGATTTAGTAGCTAACATGTGCTTCTTCTTGTTTGGGAGGCCGGTGCCTAAGGAAAGACATGGTACAATATAGTTCTAATCTTTCCAAAAACACCTACAGTAGTCTGTTTACATTAGGTAATTATCATGATTATGTATGATTTTCTGAGCAAAAATGCATGGCACACGTTATTACACTCTTTTTGAAAGTCATGAGTCATTTCTTGAGCTTGTCAAAAATGAAAATGATACCTGGTTTTGGGTAAAATAGCATTTGTGAGGATTTTCCCTAACCTACTAGAATTTAGAAATTAGAATGTTTCAAAAATAAGTCATCACACTCATTTATTGGCAAACATTTGCTTTATAATACATACAGCTAGTGACTCTCTCAACTGAGGGATAAGTTGTTTATTGTGTATTGCATCTAAATCACTTGGTTGGGGTGGCTGCTGATGTTGACTAATTTGTTGAGATTGCAGTGACAGTGTGACATTTGAAGCCATGTTAATTTTAATTTATTTTAACCACAAACCAGCAAAACACTGTTGAAAATATAGCGCAACAACGGCCTTATATTCTTCTTCTGGTATATATACAGCTTCAACTTTTTAGCATTAGAGATTACGTACTGTTTGCATGCGTAGGGATTGTTAATAAAAAATATATCTGATTTTTTTTCTCAAAATAATCATTTCATTGAAGTATTTAAAAACAACAGAACGCTATTCTGGTAATCAAATCAAATATTTATTATTAAATTGATTAGCCCCTCCTTAATTACTGAAGGAGAATTTTCAATATGAAAATGTTCGGCCAAATTATCAGTTACGTCAAAGACATATATATATATATATGTACATATATATATATATATATACCATTGTGGCTAAAAATAGAACATATGGGTCAAATAATGTGTTTTGCTTTGGGACTAATAGATAAATTGATATATTAGTCCAAGGTTTTACTAGTACATTAAGGTACAGCAGACGGACAATCGATTAATTCGACATCAGTTGAATTCATATTGTCTATTCAATCAATTCGTAAAAAATTGTAAAAAATCCCATTCATCACGAATGACACGATCAATAACGATTGAATAATAGCTGTCTATTCAATCGACTCATCTAATAGACCACTTTCGAGTTCATCCTTCACCGGAAAAAAAATCGTCAATTATGCGCGCCTTAATGACGTCATTTACCAGATAGAGGGGATCGCCTGTATCCCTGCACTATTAACGTTCATCAAGCGTCTTAGTGATCGTCATTGTGCAGGATAAACTAGAAATAACGTTTGTTTTGTAAGTACTTAATCACAATTCACTAATGACAGCAGTGCTGAATGTCAATTATGAGAATTTAATTTGCCGAATAATTCGTGCAATACATGATAACATTATAGTTTTCCAACCACTCGCTCAACATTGGAACGGAAGTGACGATGCCCTAAACGCACGAATGATGTTCACTAAAACCAGAGTTTTTGACGGAAATGCATCGAACTCGAAAGTTGTCTACGAGACACAATAGACAACTTTCGAGTTCGTTGCATTTCCGTCAAAAACTTTGGTTTTAGTGAATATCATTGACAATCAGCACTGCTGTCATTGGGAAATTGTGATTAAGTACCTACGGAACAAACATTATTTCTAGTTTATCCTGCACAATGACGATGACTAAGACGTTTGATAAACGTTGATAGTGCTGGGATACGGGCGATCCCCTCTATCTGGTAAATGACGTCATAAAGGCGCTCATAATTGCCGCATTTTTCCGGTGAAGGACATAACTCGAAAGTGGTCTATTGATTATAATTGAGCATCAGCTGTCGATTCTATCAACTCTTCAAAATAATATGGAAGGCGCGATCGTAACGTTCGATAAGAGCAATCACGATTCAACATCAGTTGTCGATTCAATCAACTCTTCAAAAAATAATATGGAAGGCATGATCGATCTCTATTGAGCATATGCTGTCGATTCAATCAACTCCTAACTAATATGGAAGGCACGATCGATCACGATTGAAAATCGGTTGTCGATTCAATCAACTCTTCACTAATATGGAAGGCACGATTGATCGCGATTGAATATCGGCTGTCGATTCAATCAACTCTTCAATAATATAGAAGACACGATCATTACAATCGACACATTAGAGAAAAAAATTGAACATCAGCTGTCGATGCAATTAACTGTTCAATATAATATGAAAGGCTATTCCATTCATCCAACTCTTCAAATCAATACAGAAACAAACAAAAAAAGACTTAACCATTTCATTCCATTTCATTTTCAAACCAGAAAGTAATAGAATAAATTGAGTTGATCAATTGTGGTGCGATCATATCGATTGATGCGATCGTGCCCCTAAAATAAATAAAGTAGTAGAACCGATTGAGTTGATCAACTGTGCCACGATTGAATACGATCGAATGAAACGATCGCGTGCTCCTAGTAAATCGAAGTAATATAATTGATTGAGTTAACAGTATAGAACTATTTGTAAACAATTGATTGAGTAGATAAATAGAGTTAAAAACAAGTGGTAGCAAATACACCCCCAAACAAGATCAAGTAAAAAAAAAATTGTAGGGTTCAGAAATGGAAAGGCCAAAATCATGCAATCTTAGTATCACTTTTCGCTACTTAAGGTCAAGGAACAGTAAATGTACATAAATTTCCGTTTTAATAATATCAAAAAATCATATGGTCACTGACTTCGTTTCTGGTGTATTAACCAATCTGTTGCCTTGTTGGTCAGTAGTGAAACACGTAATAAAATCGACGTTTTATACGGCCTACAACGCGATGACGTTACCTTTATTTCGACGTTTAGTGCGGTATTTTTTCACCTAGTACATCACTTTGATTGATGTATACCGTTAAAACGAAGTCGGAGACCTTATTATTATTTAACATCATCAAAAAGGAAGTTTATGTACCAACAACATATAGTTTTTTAAGAAAAAATCTATGTATTAAAAAACTGGAAATTTTAGGATTTTAAGACAAATTTAAGAACGTTTATCCCCGATTTTATGTGCTTTCGATACAAATGTTAACCTATTTTGAAAGAATTCAATCAGTAATATTTCAGAAAAATAGATAAATGCATTATTTTTTTTCTATTTTCAGTTAAAGTTTAACGATCCAAAGGGGTATGCAAAATTTTAAGAAAAATCTGTGACATAGCCCATCATGGGGATTGACCTCGAGTCAATTAGTATAACTCATTCATAGCAAAAAACTCGAAATTGTTCTATATAGTTACCATATCTGTATTGCAATTTTTTACTTTTCAAAACAACTTCCTCGTGCCTATTTATCTGTCTTGTACAATCCAATTCAATTTTAAATTCAATTCAAAGTTTTATTTTAAGTCGATATTCAATAAACGACATAAACACAAGCTCAGTAGTGAGCTTTTCAAATCCACTGAATAACAAAAAATATACACACTTATATGGTCATGAAACACCATAATTTTAAACATACAGTACATGGTAAGATAATATAGATGACATATAAAAATTGAATTCACTGTTTAAGTCATTTCAAGGATTTGTATAGTTAGATCTACCTATACAAATCCTTGAACTATACAAATCCTTGGTCATTTCAAGTTTTAGGAAATGTGCAATATAAAGTATATATCGTAAAACATAGCATAAGCCATAATATTAAACACAGCAGATAATAGCAACTAAAAAAAAAGCTATACAAATCAAGCAGTCAAACAAAATAGAAAATAATAAAGCACGCATCATTAAGCACTATATGCATGCACTGCACTGGCATGATAAGTTGTTATTTGTATCCCATGTTTGTACACTTTCTTGCACTGTTGTGTTGTCGTATTTAGTATTGAATATGCTTTTAGGCTATGGCAAGCCGTTTTACTATTTATTCTAACTTCAAGATATCTCATATAATATATAAGATATCTCATATAGTTTATAAGATATCTTCATACTTTATAAGATATCTTCTAAAGTTTATAAGATATCTTATAAATATTTTTTATATAAGATATATCATATACTTTATAAGATATCTTATAAATATTTTTTTATATAAGATATCTTACATACTTTATAAGATATCTCATATAGTTCATAAGATATCTCATATAGTTTATAAGATATTTTATATAGTTTTTAAGATATCTTATATAATTTATAAGATATCTCATATAATTTATAAGATATATTATAAAGAAAATTATATGAGACTTCTTATAAATTTTATGAGATATCTTACAAACTATATAAGATCTCTTATGAACTATATAAGATATCTTATAAACTAAATGAGATATCTTATAAAGTTTATGAGATATCTTATAAAGTTTATTAGATATCTTGAAGTTAGAATAAACAGTAAAACGGCTTGTCATATTTGGCTGTCCCTTTTTAAGCGTGGGAATAGCATACTGTCAATATAGTATGTCCAAGTTTAAACTAAAAGACTGATTCGTGTTTATTTATTATCGTACTTCGTGGTTTAAACTTATTCTTTAACTTTTCGGTTATAAGATTATTTATGATATACACCAGAATAAAAAAGAAAAAATACTTTATAATGATGACACAGTATTTTTATTCAATAGAATATGAAAAAAATGATCTAGTTAACACTTTTTTAGTTAATTGTGTAACTTGTAATATCTGGAGGAATATGCTTTATATAATTTTATGCTGAAACTCAAAATTACTTTGTCAACTTCCTTTTCCAGACTCAAAGACATGCGAGTGATAAAAAAGTACTAAAATGCCTCCCACTATTCAGTCAGGGAGTAGAGAAGATCGAGATAGAAAACGGGGTGGAGAGAAGAGGTAATAAACGTTATCGTTTTCTGAAGACTTTACTGACAGTAAAATTAATAAGAGGCAGGAGCTACTCGATCAGTTCCCTACGTTTATTTTTATTTTTGCAAGTTTTTTTTTTACTTGTTTGAATGTTTCACTTTTTTATATACTTGATTTTTTGTTGTTATTTTAACAGGTGTCTGAGATAGATTATTTGAAATCATGCCATCTCAACATAAATATGAGTACACATGATACAATGTACAAATTTACTAAAAGTAAAGTGTCACATTCAGTTGATTTAAATAGAATAGAGAATGGAAACGGGGAATGTGTCAAAGAGACAACAACCCACAACCGGGTCCGGTCGCCCAAAAACATGTTCGCGCCCATTCACGTTCGCCCCTTTTCACTTTGCACCCTACACATGCGCACCCAAAGTCCGTTTGCACCCTACAGGTACGCACCCTTTTTATTGGTTTTGTGTTTAATAATTTTGTAATTGAGTTTTGGTAAGTGTATTGCTGTAAATTTTTTTTTTTTCATTGTTTCAAAATAAAGTGAGATTCTGACAACATTTTTTTGTGTTGAATAAATCTTAATCATGTTTTGGTTAGTGTATTGCTATAAAAAAAAATTTCATTGTTTCTAAATAAAGTGAGATTCTCATAACATTTGTTTTTTTGTGTTGAATAAATCTTAATCATCTTTTGGTTAGTGTATTGCTATAAATTAATTTTTTCATTGTTTCAAGATAAAGTGAGATTCTCACGTTGGTTTTTTTTTGTGCTGAATAAATCTTAATTATGTTTCGGTTAGTGTTGTGATAAAAAAAAAATTTCTTTGTTTCAAAATAAAGTGAGATCAAAGGAGCCAAGCTGTTAAAATCAATTATCTTTCGTGTTTTTCTTTTAAAATCTTCAATGTTTTACTCATACCAAGCTAAATACATGCAGTATTTACATCAAAGCAAGTTAAAACAACAATCATGATTTTTAAACACACAACAATAATACCAAATTTAGCTGTGTAAATACCAATTAGCAGTAATCATACATTTGTACATAATTACCATTTATTAATTAATCATCAAATTGATAAAAAAAAAAACATTCATATAATAATTCCCCAATTTTTATTCAGGAAAATATATTTCTTTTGGTATATACATATACAAAAATATCTAATAATTCAACGTGAATTTGAATAAAAATTGGGGGCGAACGTGTAGGGTGCGAACGGACCTAGGGGGCGAACATGTGGGATGTGAACGTGTAGGGTGCGAACGTGTATTGGGTGCGAACGGACCTGATACCCAACAACCCGACCAAAGAGCAGAAAACAGCCTAAGGCCACCAATGGTTCTTCAACACAGGGAGTAAATTCTGCACCCGGTAGCAGGCTTCAGCTAGCCCCTAAACAATAATGTGTAATACTAGTTCAGCGAAATGGATGCCACACTAAACTTAGAAACATGAGAATAAAGCCAATTTGAATTAAATTGAGATTTTTCATCAATTTTCTGAAATTGTCCTGCCCTGATTTTTTTCATTTTGAAAAATTTACGATTTCCTGATTTTGTTCATTTCTGTTGCCAGTAATTGCTGATAATTCCGTTTCATTCAAAGATCCCTGTTTCAAATTTCGGTTTCATGTTTCTTCGAGTAATTTAAGTCAACATATTCTGCTCAATGATGACAACATTATCTTCCGAGAATAGAGATTGATTACTAGAAGGGCATGAAATATTAGGGTTACGAGTAAAAGGCGGTGTCCAAGAACACTATTAATAGCTGTATGTCACAAATTTCAGTGATTAGAAAACCATGGATTTTTGTCGAGACTGCGACTTTTGTCGCAAAAGCGAGACATAGCGATCCTACATTCTGTCATTGGCGGCGGCGTCCACAAATATTCACTCTGTGGTTAAAGTTCTTAAAATTTTGATAACTTTCTTAAACTATCCTGGATTTCTACCAAACTTGGACAGAAGCTTGTTTATGATCATAAGATAGTATCCAGAAGTAAATTTTGTAAAAAAAAAAATCCTTTTATCCGTATTTTACTTATAAATTGACTTAGTTTTTCTGCCAGTTAACATTACATTCACTCTGTGGTTAAAGTTCTTAAAATTTTAATAACTTTCTTAAACTATCCTGGATTTCTACCAAACTTGGACAGAAGCTTGTTTATGATCATAAGATAGTATCCAGAAGTAAATTTTGGAAAAAAAAAATCGTTTTTATCCGTATTTTACTTATAAATGGACTTACTTTTTCTGCCAGTTAACATTACCAAATGATTACATTCACTCTGTGGTTAAAGTTTTTAAAATTTTAATAACTTTCTTAAACTATCTTGGATTTGAACTAAACTTGCACAGAAGCTTGTTTATTATCAAAAACCAGTATCTAGAAGGAAATTTCATAAAAAAAATTTCCTGTTTTTCCATATATTACTTATAAATGGACTTAGTTATTCTTCCAGTTAACATTACATACAGTTTGCAGTTAAAAGATTTTAAAGCATTTATTAGATTCATAAACCATCCTGGATTTTTACCAAACTTGGATAGAAGCTTCTTCCAATCAAAAGATAGTATCTAGAGAAAATTTTTAATAATTTTTTCCCCATTTTTGTTGAGCCTGCAACTAACAGCAAAAGTAGGCGAGACACTGGGTTCCATGGAACCCCTACGAATTTTTATACGACCGCAAAAAAATTTTGCGGTCGTATATATATTGGTATGACGTTGGCGTCGTCGTCAAAGTCATCGTCCGAAGACACATTGGTTTTCGCACTTTAAACTTTAGTTTAAGTGAATGGATCTCTATGAAATTTTACCATAAGGTTCAATACCACAAAAGGAAGGTTGGGATTGATTTTGGGGGTTATGGTACCAACAGTTAAGGAATTAGGGGCCAAAAATAAGCATTTTTGTAACTTCCAGACATAACTTGTGTGTTAGTGTCATATCACAAAGGGAATGCTGGGATTGATTTTTGGGGTAATTGCCTCAAAATTTTAGGAATTAGGGGCAAAAAAAGGGGCAAAAAACAAGCATTTTTCTAGTTTCATGACAATAACTTGTGTGTAAGTGTATGGATCTTTCTGAAATTGTACTACAAGGTTCCATATCACAAAGGGAAAGCTGGAATTGAGTTTAGAGGTATTTGCCCAAAACGTTTTGGAAAAAGGGGCCAAAAAGGGGCCAAAAATAAGCATTTTTCTAGTTTCCAGACAATAACTTGTGTTCAAGTGTATGGATCTCTCTGAAATTGTACTGCAAGGTACCATACCACTAAGGGAAGGCTGGGATTGATTTTGGGGGTAATTGCCTCAAAATTTAAGGATTTAGGGGCCAAAAAGGGGCAAAAAACAAGCATTATTCTAGTTTCAGGACAATAACTTGTGTGTAAGTGTATGGATCTTTATGAAATTGTACTACAAGGTTCCATATCACAAAGGGAAAGCTGGGTTTGAGTTTGGGGGTAATTGCCCAAAACGTTTAGGAATTTGGGGCCAAAAAGGGGCCAAAAAACAAGCATTTTTCTAGCTTCCAGACAATAACTTGTGTTCAAGTGTATGGATCTCTCTGAAATTGTACTGCAAGGTACCATACCACAAAGGGAAGGCTGGGATTGAGTTTTGGATTGATGAATCATAAGGGGGTTCAAAAAATTTGGGGGGGGGATTTTTTTTCCTTTTTTTTTCTTTAAAATTTTCCATTTTAAATTGGTTATTTCTGATTTATATATAAAAGCAAATAATAATGATATGGTTTGAATAGGTGAATTAAAAATTTTTAAGTTCTTAGACCACATTCATTCTATGTCAGAAACCTATGCTGTGTCAAATATTTAATCACAATCCAAATTCAGAGCTGTATCAAGCTTAAATGTTGTGTCCATACTTGCCTCAACTGTTCAGGGTTTCAACCTCTGCGGTCATATCAAGCTGCACCCCAGCAGAGCATTTTATTTTATTTATACAATGACTTTGTGTCAGGAAATTTGGACTGTGAATGATATCCAAAGCGCAAGAATTGTGGAACACATTGGTACAAAAACATGACTGGAATAAAGAAGTTGACACAAGCAAGAACTTGTGTGATTTATGACCGTAAATTGAGTACAAAGAGTCGGCCAACGTACAAAATGTATTATAGCAAGCCCTTAGATTTACCCCAAGGCTGTCGTTTTTTGTTGACTAACAGCAAACACCCTCTGTCCCCAGCCCCTCAATAGAGTCATTAAACAACAACTTTTTTTTGGTTCAGTTCATGTTTTACATTGTAATTTTATTTGCATCTTACATAAGAATCTTTAAAGCATCAACCATAGTATTTTCAACACAGTTTGAGTTTTTATTTCACTCTGTACTCATAATATTTGTGTTGCGTACCAATGCATATATGCTTCATTTTATGGGCACTAAAAATCATAGCTTAGAAAGCAAAATAAATTTGACCTATGTAGTCTAAAAGAGAACATTTCTCAACATTTTTATACACAGCAAAAAAAATTTGGCGTCGTATATTTGGAATGACATTGGCGTAGTTGTCATCGTCGTCCGAAGACACATTGGTTTTCGCACTCTAACTTTAGTTTAAGTGAATGGATCTCTATGAAATTTTACCATAAGGTTCAATTACACAAAAGGAAGGTTGGGATTGATTTTGGGGGTTATGGTACCAACAGTTAAGGAATTAGGGGCCAAAAAGGGGCCAAAAATAAGCATTTTCTAGTTTCCAGACAATAACTTGTGTGTTAGTGTATGGATCTCTCTGAAATTATACCACAAGTTTCCATACCACAAAGGGATGGTTAGGATTTGCTTTGGGGGGTTATCGCTCAAACCGCTTAGGAATTAGGGGCAAAAAAGGGGGAAAAAACAAAGTTTTCCTGGTTAATGAACAAATACTTTAGTACAAAACATGATTTAAAGCAGTGTAAGGGAGATAAATCAAATACAATATTTGAATTACCTCCCTTACACTACTTTTAAATTATGTATAAAGTAATGGTTAATGAACAATTAAGACAATTTAAAATAGTGTAAGGGAGGTAGTCCAAATACAATGTTTTGATTACTTCCCTTACACTGCTTTTAAATTATGTTTAAAGAAATGCATATTTATAAAGGAAGACCAGTAAAAATATCTGAAAATGTTGCATCTTTTTTTTTTTACAAAAAAATCCATATGAAAGATTTGACACCATATTTTAAATTCTATTATAAAATAGATAAAGTTAGCACTATGGTAAATTTAAATGGGTAATTGGAAATTTGAATTGCGATTATGACCATATCTTGAGGGAAAGATTTTTTTTGGGGAAAAAGGGAGGGCGGGTGTGGTAAAAAGAAATTGTGGGGGGTAAACTTTTTTCATTTAAGATTTCAGAAATTAAAAAGAATTATTCTTCAAATATTATTTTATTTTCAAATTTCAAATATTGAAAAATTTCAAGAAGTTATCTTTAATTGCACAGAATGGCACATTAGATTTGTAAAATCTTTGACCACATTTATTTATTGTTATATATATATGCCGAATCTAACCGTGTATTTAAATTTTTTTAATTTTGGGTCCAGTTTTCAAATTGGTCTACATTAAGGTCCAAAGGATATATGAATATATGGGGTTCTTTGATATGCTGAATCTAAACATGAACATGTATTTAGATTTTTGATTTTGGGCCCAGTTTTCAAGTTGGTCCAAATTTGGGTCCAAAATTAAACTTTGTTTGATTTCAACAAAAATTGAATATATGGGGTTCTTTGATATGCTGAATCTAACCATGTATTTAGATTTTTTATTTGTGGGCCCCGCTATCAAATTGGTTCATATTGAGGTCAAAAGGGTCCAAAATTAAACTTTGTTTGATTTCATCAAAAATTGAATTATTGGGGTTTTATGATATGCCAAATCTAACCCTGTATTTAGATTTTTAATTTTGGGTCCCGTTTTTATACGACCGCAAAAAAATTTTTGTGGTAGTATATTGGTTTGACGTTGGCGTCGTCTATGTCGTCGTTGTCGTCGTCGTCGTCCGGCGTCGTCGTCCGAAGACGCATTAGTTTTCGCACTCTAACTTTAGTTTAAGTGAATGGATCTCTATGAAATTTTACCATAAGGTTCAATACCACAAAAGGAAGGTGGGGATTGATTTTGGGGGTTATGGTACCAACAGTTAAGGAATTAGGGGCCAAAAAGGGGCCAAAAATAAGCATTTTCTAGTTTCCAGACAATAACTGTGGAATGGTGTATGGATCTCTCTGAAATTATACTACAAGTTTCCATACCACAAAGGGATGGTTAGGATTTGCTTTGAGGGGTTATGGCTCAAACCGTTTAAGAATTAGGGGCAAAAAAGGGTGAAAAACAAGGTTGTCCTGGTTAATGGACAAATACTTTAGTACAAAACATAATTTAAAGCAGTGTAAGGGAGATAAATCAAATACATCATTGAAATTATCTCACTTACACTGCTTTTAAATTATGTATAAAGTAATGGTTAATGAACAATAAAGATAATTTAAAACAGTGTAAGGGAGGTAATCCAAATACAACGTTTTGGTTACTTCCCTTACACTGCTTTTAAATTATGTTTAAAGAAATGCATATTTATAAAGGAAGACCAGTAAAAATATCTGCAAATGTTGCATCTTTTTTTTTTTACAAAAAAATCCATATGAAAGATTTGACACTATATTTTAAATTCTATTATAAAATAGATTAAGTTAGCACTATGGTAAATTTAAATGGGTAATTATGGTTGCAAACTCCATTGGAAATTTGAATTGAGATTATGACCATATCTTGAGGGAAAGAATTTTTTTGGGGAAAAAAAGGGGGGGGGGGGGGTAAAAAGAAATTGTGGGGGGTCAATTTCAGATTTCAAAAATTAAAAAGAATTATTCTTCAAATATTATTTTTTTTTCAAATTTCAAATATTGAAAAATTTCAAGAAGTAATCTTTAATTGCACAGTATGGCGCATTACATTTGTAAGATCTTTGACCACATTTATTTATTTGTTATGCATATTCTAACCGTGTATTTAGATTTTTAATTTTGGGTCCAGTTTTCAAATTGGTCTACATTAAGGTCCAAAGGGTCCAAAATTAAACTTTGTTTGATTTTAACAAAAATTGAGTATATGGGGTTCTTTGATATGCTGAATCTAAACATGTATTTAGATTTTAGATTTTTGGCCCAGTTTTCAAGTTGGTCCAAGTTGGGGTCCAAAATTAAACTTTGTTTGATTTCAACAAAAATTGAATATATGGGGTTCTTTGATATGCTGAATCTAAACATGTATTTAGATTTTAGATTTTTGGCCCAGTTTTCAAGTTGGTCCAAATTGGGGTCCAAAATTAAACTTTGTTTGATTTCAACAAAAATTGAATTATTGGGGTTCTTTGATATGCCAAATCTAACCGTGTTTTTAGATTTTTAATTTTGGGTCCCATTTTTTAAATTGGTCTACATTAAGGTCCAAAGGGTCCAAAATTTAACTTAGTTTGATTTTAACAAAAATTGAATTCTTGGGGTACTTTGTTATACCGAATCTAACCGTGTATTTATATTTTTAATTTTGGGTCCAGTTTTCAAATTGGTCTACATTAAGGTCCAAAGGGTCCAAAATTAAACTTTGTTTGATTTTAACAAAAATTGAATATATGGGGTTCTTTGATATGCTGAATCTAAACATGTATTTAGATTTTTGATTTTTGGCCCAGTTTTCAAGTTGGTCCATATTGGGGTCCAAAATTAAACTTTGTTTGATTTCAACAAAAATTGAATATATTGGGTTCTTTGATATGTTGAATCTAAACATCTATTTAGATTTTTTATTTGTGGACCCCGCTATCAAATTGGTCCATATTGAGGTCAAAAGGGTCCAAAATTAAACTTTGTTTGATTTCATCAAAAATTGAATTATTGGGGTTCTTTGATATGCCAAATCTAGCCGTGTATTTAGATTTTTAATTTTGGGTCTTGTTGTTTTAAATTAGTCTACATTAAGGTCCAAAGGGTCCAAAATTTAACTTAGTTTGATTTTAACAAAAATTGAATTCTTGGGGTTCTTTGATATGCTGAATCTAAACATGTGGTTAGATTTTTGATTTTTGGCCCAGTTTTCAAGTTGGTCCAAGTTGGGGTCAAATTAAACTTTGTTTGATTTCAACAAAAATTGAATATATGGGGTTCTTTGATATGCTGAATCTTAACATGTATTTAGATTTTAGATTTTTGGCCCAGTTTTCAAGTTGGTCCAAATTGGGGTCCAAAATTAAACTTTGTTTGATTTCAACAAAAATTGAATATATGGGGTTATTTGATATGCTGAATCTTACCATGTATTTAGATTTTTTATTTGTGGGCCCGCTATCAAATTGGTTCATATTGAGGTCAAAAGGGTCCAAAATTAGACTTTGTTTGATTTCCCAAAAAATTGAATTATTGGGGTTCTTTGATATGCCAAATCTAACCGTGTTTTTAGATTTTTAATTTTGGGTCCCATTTTTTAAATCGGTCTACATTAAGGTCCAAAGGGTCCAAAATTAAACTTAGTTTGATTTTAACAAAAATTGAATTCTTGGGGTTCTTTGATATGCTGAATCTAAACATGTGTTTAGATTTTTGATTATGGGCCCAGTTTTCAAGTTGGTCCAAGTTGGGGTCCAAAATTAAACTTTGTTTGATTTCAACAAAAATTGAATATATGGGGATCTTTGATATGCTGAATCTTAACATGTATTTAGATTTTAGATTTTTGGCCCAGTTTTCAAGTTGGTCCAAATTGGGGTCCAAAATTAAACTTTGTTTGATTTCAACAAAAATTGAATATATGGGGTTCTTTGATATGCTGAATCTTACCATGTATTTAGATTTTTTATTTGTGGGCCCGCTATCAAATTGGTTCATATTGAGGTCAAAAGGGTCCAAAATTAGACTTTGTTTGATTTCATCAAAAATTGAATTATTGGGGTTCTTTGATATGCCAAATCTAACCGTGTTTTTAGATTTTTAATTTTGGGTCCCATTTTTTAAATTGGTCTACATAAAGGTCCAAAGGGTCCAAAATTAAATTTTGTTTGATTTTAACAAAAATTGAATTCTTGGGGTACTTTGATATGCTGAATCTAAACATGTGTTTAGATTTTTGATTATAGGACCAGTTTTCAAGTTTGTCCAAGTTGGGGTCCAAAATTAAACTTTGTTTGATTTCAACAAAAATTGAATATATGGGGTTCTTTGATATGCTGAATCTAACCATGTATTTTGATTTTGGACATTGGTCCATAATAGGTAAATTAAAAAAATTGAAGTTCTTAGACCACATTCTTTCTGTATCAGAAACCTATGCTGTGTCAAATATTTAATCACAATCCAAATTCAGAGCTGTATCAAGCTTGAATGTTGTGTCCATACTTGCCCCAACTGTTCAGGGTTCGACCTCTGCGGTCGTATCAAGCTGCGCCCAGCGAAGCATTTTATTTAAAATTGGTCTACATTAAGGTCCAAAGAGTCCAAAATTAAACTTAGTTTGATTTTAAATAAAATTGAATTCTTGGGGTTCTTTGATATGCTGAATCTAAACATGTGTTAAGATTTTTGATTATGGGCCAAGTTTTCAGGTTGGTCCAAATTGGGGTATAAAATTAAACTTTGTTTGATTTCAACAAAAATTGAATATATGGGGTTCTTTGATATGCTGAATCTAACCATGTATTTTGATTTTTGGGCCCCGTTATCAAATTGGTCCACATTGAGGTCAAAAGGGTCCAAAATTAAACTTTGTTTGATTTCATCTAAAATTGAATTCTTTGGATTCTTTGATGTGCTGAATCTAACCATGTATTTAGATTTTGGATATTGGACCATAATAGGTAAATTAAAAATTTTTAAGTTCTTAGACCACATTCATTCTGTGTCAGAAACCTATGCTGTGTCAAATATTTAATCACAATCCAAATTCAGAGCTGTATCAAGCTTGAATGTTTGTGTCCATACTTGCCCCAACTGTTCAGGGTTCGACCTCTGCGGTCGTATCAAGCTGCGCCCAGCGGAGCATTTTATTGCAATTTACATGTACTAAAAATAGGTTTCTTAAAGCGGCAATTACATGTAGAACAGTGGTTGCCAATCAGAAATATTAATTTGGAAAATAATGTAGAATTCCTTATATATACATGATATAAGTTAAATTACCCTTGTATATGAGCAACACATCACAAAAGGGTTTAGGAGAAAATAAAAAATCAGATCCTCCCACCCACCCCATTTTAAAAAAAAATCTGGATGAAAATCTGCTAATTAATTTTAGTTGGCCTAAACCAAAATTTAAAAAGCACATAAGAATAACAACATGAACAAAGGCTAGAGATTCCTTACGTAGGACAGGTGAAAAAATGGCAGGGTTAAACATGTTTTGTGAGATCTCAACCCTCCCGCCAATGTGGAATAAAAAAACAGCAATACCCACAGTAAAACTCAGTTTAAAAGAACATGAAGATGTCTGAGTCCAATGTTAGAATAGGTTACAGAAGAAACTAAGCAAAATGACAATGATCAACATAAATTAACAAATGACTACTAGTAGTAACTGAGCTTTCTGCTTTGTATCGATCTGATGAGTTAACTTAAGCCCTTTTCAACTGATATAGTTTGTTCTTATGTTGTGCTGTTACACCACTGTCCCAGGTAAGGGGGAGGGTTGAGCGCTCACAAACATGTTTAATCCCGCCACATTCTTTATGTGCCTGTCCCAAGTTAGGAGCCTGTAGTTCAGTGGTTTTTTGTTGGTTCATGTCTGTCATATTTGTTTTTCATAAATTGTTTTGTTATGAATTAGGCCGTTAGTTTTCTCAATTGAATTGTTTCATATTTTTCATGTCAGCCTATTATAGCAGCTATCTGTATGGGTTTTTGTCATTGTTGAAGGCCGTCTGGTTGCCTATAATTGATTACATCCACTTCATTTGAACTCTGGTGGATAGTTGTCTCATTGGAAATCATACCACATCTCCTTATTTTTTTTTTTATATTGGCAGCTTCAGACCTCAATTAAACTGATCAAAAGATTACATGTATGTCTTTGTCATATGAAAATCAACAACAATCCCTCCGGTTAGGAATTAAGTATCATGCCATCATAAATTATATGAAAAGAACATAACCTGTATCATGCCAACAACTGGTTTTAGAATAAATGTGCTTATTTCAGATGCAAAGACCATATGAGTAAATCAATATTAATTAAGAATAAGCCATCTTTCATGACTTATAATTTGTTTCAACAGCAAAGCATATTGATTAGGTGACGTATTGAACAATTATCAAATTTGTGCAACCGCAGCATACCTCCAGGTATCCATCCTGATTACTCTCTACCAGCCTGTACCGTTAGAAAGTGTTGGTTCACTCGATGCAACCTTAATTATCAAATTTGTTAATATAATTTTGTATAAAAAAAAAACACACAATGATATCTTCTCCTCTTAAACCACTAGATCAAACACAATCATCAATTAACATGATTAAGTGTTTAGATTTAAAATAATCTTATATTCCTGCAAACTGATACCTTTTGGAATTCTGTGTCCAGAGTGATTTTCTGATTTGGCTGCCCTCAGAATCTCTTATCAAGTCCTACATGTACATGTTTTATGTCTATTCAGTGAAAATTTTGCCAAATGCCTCACCTCGGACCAGTTCTTTTTTAGGCCTACAGCACTATATAACAATCATCTTCCTATTTGTATAAATATAAGTTGTAATTTCTAGTTTCAGTTGAGGGGATTATAAAAGGGATTTAAAAAAACACAGATCACCCTTAAAATGTGCTGATAAAATTACATGTGTACTTTGGAAGAAAATGGTATCTTATGCTTGAAATAGGAATTGAATTTGTTGACTTTTTTTTCCAGGTCGGATCTAGTTGCAAGAGTTAAATATAACAATACATTGCCAGACATACCATTTGATCCTAAATTCATCACATATCCTTTTGAGTCAAATAGGTAAGTACATACAAATATTATGCATATAAAATGAAGTTCATAGCCTAATTAATTGGAGATGAAGATTTTGTTTATCTGATTATTCAATTTAAAATATTAATGTTCATAATTTATTCTCCCTAGTATTTTCATATAGCACCATGGAATTAGAAATATCACTGTTTTACAGAACTCATATGACATGCAGGAACATTTTTTAACCAATAAATCAGTTAAGCATGTTCAGTTGATCACTGATTTAATCATGTTAGTAATGTGGACAGATAATATAACATCCTTTAGAGTCCACCTTTCTATAGGTTATAAGTCATTTATTTTCTGTCATATATACATTTTGTAAGAGTCATGCATGTTGATGTTAAAATTATAATGGTTTATTTTCTGGAAATAACACTGAGGTGAAAGATGTTTCTTAAAAAGAAAACTTCTTATCATAATTGTTAAAAAAATATGAATAAATCCAACTAAGCTAGACCTAACTTGTTATAGATTAAAAAAATTCAAGGCATACAGGGGCTAAAATAGATGCAAGTCTAAGGTCTTTGACTAGTTAATTTTAATAAAAGGACCATAGATGGAAGATTGAAGAGATTTACAGACCTTTTTACCAAACTCCAATTGTAAGAAATACAATGAGCAAACATATTTATGTTACATTCTACAGGCTGATCATGATAAGAAGGACTTATATGAATCAATGTAGATAAGACGTTTAACCAACAGAAAAGGTTATAAATTCCTGAGCATATGTAACTCATTTCACACAAAAAATCTTATGAGAAAAAATACGGGTAAGTCATGAATGTTTCAGTATAACTTACAATTAATTTTAGACGTAAGATTTTTTTGTGATATACATACATACCACAGTTTCAGTATGTCAAAATTTATGACTTTCAGATTTATAGAATATAAAGCAACATCACTTGAGAGAGCGTACAAATATGAACTACTTACAGAACATGACCTTGGTGTGACGATAGATCTTATCAATCCTGATACTTACCAAATAGACCCTAATGGTCAGTCATCGGTATTTATTGATATTTTATTGATTTAAAGTTAGAGTAAATTATGATTAGAAGCAAACATGTGCGACAGGTTTTAAAAAAAAAACTATTTTGAGATTCATTAAATTGAGATGTCCTGTAAAAAATTATTAAAACGAAAGCTATATTTCCAGAGTATGGAATATCTAGGATATGGCTTTTGGTGGGGGATTAATTCAGAAATGTACATTACATTTGTATGTAGAAGCAAGAATACGTAACAAGTCATATTAAACTATAGTTATGTTTAGAAATAATCTAATGTTTCTGGTAACCTGACTTACAACTTTATCATAACCCTCAGCTCATTTCTATTATACATGTATTGCCTATTATATAAAAAAATATATAACATCCAACTGTCTAAACATGGATTTTTTGTGATTAATTTTTTACCTGATTTTTTGAAGTTCAATGACAACACATTGTGTTTTGCCTTTTTTTTATTAACTTGATTAACCATGATAGTCAAGGACAATAGAAATGCATTTGAAAGAATGAACTTTGAATCCATTCTTCATAATTCCATTATATTCACTACTATACACATTGACATATGTCTAATGTTGAAGGTGGTTTTTGTCCTCTAGATGTCTTTTGGTTAATTTTGTCAAAGGGTGGCATTCTAATGATCTCTAATTGATGTATACCTAACATCTCCTTTTATTTCACATCTATGCTGCATCAGTTCAAATTGAAAATTGAGCATATAGTCCTAATAACCAATCTTTCTCAATTTTTTATACGACCGCAAAAAAATTTTTGTGGTCGTATATTGGTATGACGTTGGCGTCGTCGTCGTCCGGCGTCGTCGTCGTCCGGCGTCGTCCGAAGACACATTGGTTTTCGCACTCTAACTTTAGTTTAAGTGAATGGATCTTTATGAAATTTTACCACAAGGTTCAATACCACAAAAGGAAGGTTGGGATTGATTTTGGGGGTTATGGTAATAACAGTAAAGGAATTAGGGGCCAAAAAGGGGCCAAAAATAAGCATTTTTGTAACTTCCAGACATAACTTGTGTGTTAGTGTATGGATCTCTCTGACATTGTACCACAAGGTTCCATATCACTAAAGGAATGCTGGGATTGATTTTGGGGGTAATTGCCTCCAAATTTTAGGAATTAGGGGCCAAAAAAGGAGCAAAAAACAAGCATTTTTCTAGTTTCATGACAATAACTTGTGTGTAAGTGTATGGATCTTTCTGAAATTGTACTTCAAGGTTCCATATCACAAAGGGAAAGCTGGGTTTGAGTTTGGGGGTAATTGCCCTAAAAGTTTAGGAATTTGGGGCCAAAAAGGGGCCAAAAAACACATTTTTTTCTAGTTTCCAGACAATAACTTGTGTTCAAGTGTATGGATCTCTCTGAAATTGTACTGCAAGGTACCATACCACAAAGGGAAGGCTGGGATTGAGTTTGGGGGTGATGAATCATAATGGGGGTTCAAAAAATTTTGGGGGGGGATTTATTTTTTTTTCATTTTTTTTCTTTTTTTCATTTTTTGTTTCTTTTAAAATTTTCCATTTTAAGTTGGTTATTTCTGATTTATATTTAAAAGCAAATAATAATGATATGGTAGGAGATACACACCAAACAGGATGTGAAAATTATTATATAATAAGTATTGTGCAATAGCAAGAAATTTTCAATTGCACAGTATTGCACAATAGCAAGAAATCTTCAATTGCACAGTATTGCGCAATAGCAAGAAATATTCAATTGCACAGTATTGCACAATAGCAAGAAATATCCAATAGCACAATATTTCGCAATAGCAAGAAATTGTCAATTGTACAGTATTGCGCAATAGCAAGAAATATTTAATTGCACAGTATTGTACAAAAGAAGATACTTTGTATAAATTGCTTATTTCTTGACCAATTTCAATGGGGTTTTATTCTTGAATTCTTGGGGTTCTTTAATATGCTGAATCTAACCATGTATTTAGTTTTTGGATTTTGGGCCCCGTTTTTAAATTGGTCCACATTGAGGTCCAAAGGGTCCAAAATTAAACTTTGTTTGATTTCAACAAAAATTGAATTCTTAGGGTTCTTTGATATGCTGAATCTAAACATGTATTTAGATTTTTGATTATGGGCCCAGTTTTCAAGTTGGTCCAAATCGGGGTCCAAAATTAAACTTTGTTTGATTTCAACAAAAATTGAATATATGGAGTTCTTTGATATGCTGAATCTAACCATGTATTTAGATTTTTGATTTTTGGGCCCCGTTATCAACTTTGTCCACATTGAGGTCAAAAGGGTCCAAAATTAAACTTTGTTTGATTTCATCAAAAATTGAATTCTTGGGGTTCTTTGATATGCCGAATCTAACCGTGTATTTAGATTCTTAATTTTTGGTTCCGTTTTGAAATTGGTCTACATTAAGGTCCAAAATGTCCAAAATTAAACTTAGTTTGATTTTAACAAAAATTGAATTCTTAGGGTTCTTTGATATGCTGAATCTAAACATGTATTTAGATTTTTGATTATGGGCCCAGTTTTCAAGTTGGTCCAAATCGGGGTCCAAAATTAAACTTTGTTTGATTTCAACAAAAATTGAATATATGGAGTTCTTTGATATGCTGAATCTAACCATGTATTTAGATTTTTGATTTTTGGGCCCCGTTATCAACTTTGTCCACATTGAGGTCAAAAGGGTCCAAAATTAAACTTTGTTTGATTTCATCAAAAATTGAATTCTTGGGGTTCTTTGATATGCTGAATCTAACCATGTATTTAGATTTTGGATATTGGACCATAATAGGTGAATGTCCAATTTAAAATTTTTAAGTTCTTAGACCACATTAATTCTGTGTCAGAAACCTATGCTGTGTCAAATATTAATCACAATCCAAATGCAAAGCTGTATCAAGCTTGAATGTTGTGTCCATACTTGCCCCAACTGTTCAGGGTTCGACCTCTGCAGTCGTATCAAGCTGCGCCCTGCGGAGCATTTTATTTAAATTGGTCTTCATTGAGGTCCAAAGGGTCCAAAATTAAACTTAGTTTGATTTTAACAAAAATTGAATTCTTGGGGTTCTTTGATATGCTTAATCTAGATTTTTGATTATGGGCCCAGTTTTCAAGTTGGTCCAAGATAGGGTCCAGTATTTAAACTTTGTTTGATTTCAACAAAAATTGAATATATGGGGTTCTTTGATATGCTGAATCTAACCATGAATTTAGATTTTTTATTTGTGGGCCCCGCTATCAAATTGGTTCATATTGAGGTCAAAAGGGTCCAAAGTTAAACTTTGTTTGATTTCATCAAAAATTGAATTATTGGGGTTCTTTGATATTCCAAATCTAACCGTGTATTTAGATTTTTAATTTTAAGTCCCGTTTTTTAAATTGGTCTACATTAAGGTCCAAAGGGTCCAAAATTAAACTTAGTTTGATTTTAGCAAAAATTGAATTATTGGGGTTCTTTGATATGCTGAATCTAAACATGTGTTTAGATTTTTGATTATGGGCCCAGTTTTCAAGTTTGTCCAAGTTGGGGTCCAAAATTAAACTTTGTTTGATTTCAACAAAAATTGAAAATATGGGGTTCTTTGATATGCTGAATCTAACCATGTATTTTGATTTTGGACATTGGACCATAATAGGTAAATTAAAAAAATTCAAGTTCTTAGACCACATTCTTTCTGTGTCAGAAACCTATGCAGTGTCAAATATTTAATAACAATCCAAATTCAGAGCTGTATCAAGCTTGAATGTTGTGTCCATACTTGCCCCAACTGTTCAGGGTTCGACCTCTGCGGTCGTATCAAGCTGCGCCCCAGCGAAGCATTTTATTTAATTTAAAATTCAGAAACAAGACTTATTATTATTTTGCCTTACTATTCTGCGAAAAAATGACTACTGTAAAAAATTGTTGGAAATAGTATATCTGTGAGCGAACAAATGACAACAAACAATGTAAAATTCAAGCAAAGAATGAAAGCATTGTGTTAGTTTACAGCAAACAAAATAGAAAAATCACTCAAAGAACGAAAGCATTGTGTTAGTTTACAGCAAACAAAATATAAAAATCACTCAAAGAACAAAAGTATTGTGTTAGTTTACAGCAAACAGAATATAAAAATCACTCAAACAATAAATGAAGTCTCTGAACTAACAAAAATCAATATAGAAAAGAAAAAGCAGAATATTCATGTTGTTAACAGGCAACAAACAATATAAAATAAAAAAAAAAAAAGCAGGATATGTTGTTAACAGGCAACAAACAATATAAAAATCAAAACGATGGTATAAAATTGCATGATAACAGCTATTCGAAATATTTGAATGTTTTCTCCTTCAGCCTATCCAGATCCAGAAGATGAACGTCTGCTGGAGGAAGATCACAGTTCACATTCAGATTCTAAACGGTATCTATTAAAATGTTTGGCCATCTGTCTATCAAAGTCAAAGGTTCAGTTTACACCATGGTTTATAACATAGTAAATCATAAGTCTTACTTCTATAAGATTTTTAACAACAGTAAAATATTTTATCATAAGATATTTTTTTATTCATTAAGTTTTACCCTTGTCTGTACGTACGTACGTACGTCACAAAGTTTGTTTCCGTTCTCTAACTTTAGTTTGCCTCAGCCGAATGTTATGAAACTTATACACAATTCTTATTACCACAAAACACAGATCAAGTTTGAATTTTGGTGGTGTCACTTTAACCGTTCTAGAGTTATGCCCCTTTCAAATGGAAAAATTGCTGAATTTTTTGTTTCCGTTCTCTAATTTAAGTTAGCCTCAACCAAATGTTATGAAACTTATACACAATGCTTATTACCACAAAATAAAGATCAAGTTTGAATTTTGGTGGCGTCACTTTTACCGTTCTAGAGTTATGCCCCTTTACAAATGGAAAAATTGCTGAATTTTTCGTTTCTGTTCTCTTACTTTAGTTTGCCTCAACCAAATGTTATGAAACTTATACACAATGCTTATTACCACAAAACTCAGATCAAGTACAAATTTGGGTAGCGTCACTTTTACAGTTTTTGAGTTATGTCCCTTTATAACATTAAATGCAAGTGGGGGCATCATCTGTGTCCCATGGACACATTCCCCATTTATTTAGTAATAACTTTCTTGGTAAAGTTTTAAAGGTTTACATTTAGAATGTAACAAGAGTCTTGAAATAAATATAATACATGATAACATGGACATTATATTTTCTTAAATTGTCATGATTGTGATGATTTTATTACAATGTGTTACTCTAATTAAATAATCCACAGATCAAGACACCATAACATGAATGTATCCTGGTTGAGAAAAACAGAATACATCTCCACAGAATATAACAGATTCACACAGAAAACTGGAGATTCAGAAAGAAGGTAAAATATATAATGTTAATAATAGTTGTAGGAAGTGCAGGGTTTGATAGGCTATAAAATCTGTAAAATATTTTAAAGTATCAGTTGATATAGTATATACACTCTGAGTGAAAATATGCAAATATAAGCCTAATTAGCTGAAATCTTCCTACAAAGCATGAGTTGCCATACATAGTCCCCCAAACTCTCCCCTGTGTGCTATAGATAGTCATCTCAACAAACACTTAAATGATGGAATTGTTTTAGAATAACTTATTCTGCCTTAAGAGATTCAAGCCTATTAAAGGTCAATTTAGGCAAAATTGATACCAGTTGAGTAATAACATACCATTGTAATGGACAACTGGATATGATTAAAAGAAGATGTGGGGTGTACTTCAATGAGACAGTAACCCAATAATATAATATAAGTTATTGATGAAGATGGCTAGGAAAGATTTAAAACTAATAATATGTACCAGTTTGTAGGTGCATTTAGAAGGTAAAAAATGCAGATTTCATAAATTGTTTTAGTAGGATATTATGATAGAAAGGGCATGGAATAAGTTATAATAATTATAAGAATGATTTACTGGAAGTATTGTTTTGTAGAAGAAAACTATCTCTTTACATTAAGGTAAATAACAGAAATATCACATTGACATGTTGTATCTGATAGTAGCAATGAGCTTAAATATGCACAATAGGTAGCAGATTTTTATAAATTCTATATTATAAAATTGCAGAGTTGGATTTAAAATAAAACAGATTATGAAGGATGAAGATGTTTACAAAGACAGAGAGAGTCAAATTGAGGCTATTGAGAAAACATTTGAGGGTGCTAAAGAACCAGTATGTAGTTTGAAATGCTCAAAATTCAGTTAAGAGTATCAGTGGTTTAGATACATCTTGTCACAGATACACTTTAAATCCTTGTTATAATGAGTCCTCTATTCTATGGTATATGAACAAGTCTACAGACATAGCTATTAATAAAAGGAAAGATGGGTATATTCATCAATGAGACAGGAGCCCAAACACACACATATTCAAAAGACATCAAGGCAATATTTTGTATATTAGACATATGTAGCCACTATTTCGTTGCATTTTATCTTTCATTCTTATCTAATTCAAACAGGTTGTGTTTTTATAATTTAACTTTTTAACATCCAGAATAACTTTTTTCTCTTAGGCCACTTAGAATTTATTCTCTGGTTATCAAGCTTTTTAAAAAAAATTACCAGATGGAAGTAGAGAAGGGGGGCATTAAGTGTTACCCTTGCCCATCCATATGTACATCCCAAAATTAGTTTCAGTTCTCTAACTTTAGTTTGCCTCAACCAAATGTTATGAAACTTATACACAATGCACAATGCTTATTACCACAAAACACAGATCAAGTTCGAATTTGGGTGGCGTCACTTTTACCATTCTAGAGTTATGCCCTTTTATAACGTTATATGCAAGTAGGTGCATCATCTGTGTCCCATGGACACATTCTCCATTTATTGCCTTATATCTTGTCTATGTCAAAAAGATTTTAAACTTGATGCATACAAAAAATTGTATGTACAATGTCCCAATATTAATTTAATTTTGTAACCAATTAAATAGATATGATGTTGCAAGACTTGGAGTTTTTACATGTTTTTAGCCTAATTGACTTTGTTAAACATTGAACAGATACTACTGTTCATCTTTTTTTTAAATGTTCACAACTGTTTTGTTTGCATGCTCATTTTTGAGTCAATAGAAAAAAATGTTTGAAGTTTGAAATTTTGCCATGTTTGACTTTACTGATTTTAAGTGGCTGTAATATAATAATTTTTAAGAACACATGTACTTTTAACTTATTATACATTTATTTGTAGATCATGAAACATCACAAGTACTTTAACTTAATGTACTTTTATTTTGTTATTTTGTAGATCACCAAACATTACAGTAAACCAGGAGTTAAACCATTGGAAATTTTACCTATATTTCCTGATTTCGATGTATGTAATAATCTCACTATTGCCATTATAAAACTTTATTAAGCAAAACTGAACAAAAAAAGATGATAATACCCTAATAACTGTATTGAGCTGTTAAATTATACTGAAATACGTTTTCTTTTTCTACTACCTCAACCATGGATGATAATTATAAAAACTTTATTTGTAAGCAATACAGCTTATAGAATATTCATTAAACAAATATGCACAGCACAATATAATATCTTCATTGAAAGCAATTTAAATGTAATATTGTTATTTCAGTTATGGAAACATCCATTTGCTCAAGTGATATTTGATTCCGATCCTGCTCCTAAAGGAAGATTAGCACCTAATGCCATGGAAGAAATGAGCCAGGCTATGATCAGGTGCGTAAAATGAATTATCATTGAATTCAGCAGTACTTATATTTTCAATTGAAATATAACGTCATCAACTTTTTTTCATGATTTACTCCTTAAAAACGGAATTGAAAAACTGAATTGAAAAATGGAACTCCTAAAAAACTAGAATTGAATTATAAGGAAAGACTGCAATATTTTTTTCTGTCTATTCGAAATAACCTAAAAAATGTGGTGCACACTTTTAAATAACAACCTACGGGGGTTATTCAGTGTGCATCACATTTTTGAGGTTATTTCTTCATTGACCGAAAAAATATTACAATCACTCCTTAAATAAATTGTATTTTGCTAAAATGTAGTAGAGGGTTTCCTTACTTGTAAACCAGTTAAACAGATAAAAGACGTGATAATGTTTGTGCAACATACAATTACTGGTATGGCCCGTAGAAAAGGTGAATATCCCAAATTTTCAACCCTAACAGGATAGTTCATTGAGAATTCTGTCTTAAGGAAATAAATTTTAACGGGTTTTCAATTTTGGATATTCACAGCTTCTAAGGGCCACAATTGTTTAATTTTATCAAACTTAAAGTGGAAAGGCTTTTCTAACCATCGAAGATACCTGTCAAAGAAGCACCCATGTCTTCCTAAAATAACAGATTGTCAAAACTCTTAGGTCAGAAAATCATTTTGTGTTTAAGAATGCCTTGTATCATGTACAACTAAGGAAAACTCTTTCATTAGAAATATTTACGATCATTATAGATTGATAGAAACTTTAAAAAGGAAAAATGATGAGCAGGATAAGGTCTACAAATATACCAACATGACTGAGTGACACTCTAAAAAGTGAATTCTTATCTCCCAATCGGAAAATTGCATGTATGCCTAACATTCATCATTGGATCACATATCTTTTTTTCTATTTTATTGGTTTACAAATTGATTAAATTTTAGCACCTTTGAAAACAACATTGATTCCATGTGATAATAACATCTCTCTCTCTAACAGAACTACAGTGATTTCCTAGGCAGAATGTATTAATTTATTTTTGAAAACAGAAGGTTTCAAATATTCGGATAGTCTTCATTGTTTAAGTTTTTATTTTTTGTGACCATTAGAATAGAAGACTCTTGAAATGATTGGTTCAACTATGTCTGAATTTAATTATAATTGTAATTGTAGAGGTGCTGTAGATGAAAGTGGGGAACAGTTTGTAGCTTACTTCCTTCCCAATGAAGAAACACTGGGTAAAAGGAAGAGAGATGCCGAAGAACAAGTAGATTATGTTCCTGATGAAGAGTAAGTATAGTTTCATTTATAAATAGGATTTGTCTTTAGAAAATTTATAGTGCACTAAATCTTGCCAACTGATGTACTTTAGCTAGGGTTTGTATTTTTTAAAGTTTTTTTTTATAAATGATAAAAATTTAAAAAAAGTAAAGGTTTTAAACAAAATTGAAATGCTAATTCTTCAAACATAAAAGTTGTTCACAAATCATTTTAGTAAACAATACTTGCAATATTTAAACGTAAAAGTTTTTTTTTTAACTTTTTATTCTTTAAAAAAATTAACTATAGACAGATTTAGATTTCATTTAAACTTAATTGTTTTTTAAATCTTATGACTTGCAGAATGACATTGGAAAAGTATCACATGATTTTTATTCCAATATTTAATATATACCTATATTTAATTGATTTCAGATACCAGTATATGCTAGCACGTGAATACAATTGGAATGTTAAAAACAAATTATCAAGAGGATATGAAGAGACTTATTTCTTTGTCTTCAGAGATGATGGTGTATACTATAATGAGCTAGAAACCAGGTATTAAATACACTTTTTTATAGACTTAGATTCAGGGTTACAGGTCTATTGTCAGAGATATTGTGGGAAACTTAATCCTGGTATCTATGATGAGTTTAATTATTAACACCCATTCTGGATGTTTTAGAGTTAGATTGTTGTGTAATTGACACATACCTTACACTTCCTTTTATTTATTCTTGTTGAGCAAAAATCTGTTTTCTAATTTGTGTGTGTGCCCAAGATAAATGCAGTTCTGTACACATGTCTGACTTATATATAAGTGTGATTTTTTAATTAATGTGTATTCATTATTATTTCTTGTGTACTAACTTTCGTAGATTTTCGTGTGTAAAGGTGAACCCCTTATTCAAGTGTTTAATGTTAGGACAGTTTTAAAAGGTTTTTAGTTTTATATCACAATATAATACTCAATACTTCAGATTGAGAAGATGAAAATCGCCTTGATCTCAGCGAATTGACAAAGTCTATAACTGGTGATTGTTTCATTTTCTCTGGTGTCTCAGAAAACTCTGGAGTGTTTCAATTTGAGATGATTAAGCATGTTACTTGTATTATACATTAATTCTAATCACATTATTTGCGTCTTACCATTCTTGAGTCAGCATTTCGTTTAAAGTATGACAAAGCATTAAAAGATGGAGATGGCATATTTACATATAGGTCTACGCAATAGTAAATTAAAGTAAAATAATGAAGTAAATCGTAAAATTTAATCAGCTTACAACTGTTCCCAATACATGTACACTAATTATGTTTACTTTTGATTTTGCCCCGAGCTGATAGACAAGTTGTCATTGTGTTAATTAATTTGGTAAAATTGGAGTGTTTTCAAGGTTAACAACAGTAATCAATATACTGTACAATTGATCTGTCAAATTAATTACCAAGACTATCATTTTAAAAATTAATTAATGATTTCAATACACATTTATATCAAATCTGGCGGTTTATTGCAATACACATTTGGAGTCGGGACTTCAAAATAGTTTGGTATTCTGTGGTGACAGTGTATAGTCTACACAGTGTAAATTACAATACACAAATAGGGAAATAAAACGGGATTTTGAAATAAGTTCAGTTAAGTGTGAAATTTTGTCAGGGTTTGGTTTAAATAGTTTTCACTGTATATGGCTTTTCAAATTACAAATCATAAGTATTACAATTTACAACCCTTGCATTTGAATCTTTGATCCCATTTTCCTATCTTTTCTAGAGTGCGGTTGAGTAAAAGAAGAAAGATAGGTGGAGTGGAAGTACCAAAATCAAGACTTGTTGTCAAACACAGAGATCTGAATACTAAAGAAATACAAGCTCAGGTAAACACAAAATAACTATTTTATGTACTGGGTAGGTTTTAATATCAAAGAATATTCTCAGATACAAATGACATTCTGTACTGAAAACTGTCTTGTATTCTTTTCTTTTTTTTTTAAACATGTACATGAAGTGTATTACTTTTGTATTAATTTAAAAAAAAAGTTCAGATGCTACATTAAAATATGGAAAATTCTTAAATTTTATTTTAGTGCTGGCCTGGAAATCCCCTTGAAATTTACCAAAAAAGGGGGAAGCTGAGGAAAAAAATTGGAACATTTTAGAGAGTAATTTGAAATTGAAGTAATTTCCCTTTCAAATTAAGCATCTGATTATAAATTTCTGGTATAGCCTTTGAACTTTTGTAAGAAGATGCATTATTATGATGAGTATGTATGTCAGAACATTTATTTAATATTTGACTGTGTATATCCACATTCAAATCTGTTTTAAACATTTGCATACAGAGATCTGCATGACTACCCTGACAGGTTGAAAAATACTGAACTCATGTGAAAGCTTGTCAGTTGTTTTGGTTTGTTTGTTTTTTGGGTAAAGATTGCTTGAAATGCAATCAAAACCCTATGTACTGACTTGATATCTAAATCCACCAAGGTTTATCACTACCTTTGAGATACACAAAATATAGTGCATTGATCATAACATTCTATACACCCTATCCCTGAACATTTCCAGAAATTTATCAATGTAATATATGCTCAGATATTCAAGTCACAAAATGATGTTATACTTGTCAAGGTGCAGGAATCTATTATCTGTTCTAAAAATATCGATGATGTCATTGTTAAAGTCATCTTTAAAAATTGGAGTGATCTTCCTTTGTCTGGAATTGTAGTTGAATCAACTACAACCAATGCTTTATACAATGCAACATTTAATTTTACTTCCCACTGATAAAATTGTTTGTATATGTTTGAATTTTTAATAGTAAACAGATAATTTGTTATCTATTGATATCATTGTAATTTTCACAATCAACTGGAATAGCTTTGTGTGTTAGAACATTTTTGTTCAAAAGGATTTCTTTACATAGAGGCTTGTCCAAAGTTCTTACAGTCAAAAATAACTTATGAATTCTTCATTTAAAGTCTTCTGTTAACATCCTTGAGAAATCAATAAAAAAAAAAGCTAGCAGTTTTTGTTAAAATAAAGTTTGACCCTTGTTTTGTAAACCTAAATTCCTATATACAAATTCATATGTAATGCATATTTGTATTGATAAAAAAATGTCCTGATGTTAATATGAATAAAAGGAAATCTGTATTTTGACACTACTTATTATTTTAGGACACACGACTGATGATGTTAGAGCCTCCACAGGAGGAGGAAGAAGAAGAAGAGCAATGTAAGATTATATATAGTTTATAGTGTTGTACTTAAATGGATATTTTGTAGTTTATATGAGACTTTTTTTCACAGATATTTCCATATACAATATTAAGTCAATGTGAAAAAAGTATCAACCTTTTTTGTATGAGGCTTAGAAACCGGGAAAGAGCAAGGTTTATCAAGCCCTTCAACAGTTTCATCCTGAATTCAAAAAAAGTTGATATTTTTCTGACATTGATCTAAGTTGCTTGAAATTGATTCAATTATACTTATGTAAATGTTAACACAAAAATATCCTTAAATGAACCCCAGATTGTGAAGAAAAGTGACGTGACATGAAATTGACATTGCACGAAATATCCCAAAGAGAAAAACTGCATTTTATTTAACATTGATAGTAATGTCACATTTTTAACCCCATTGAATTTAAGTCATTAAACTTTTCTGTCAATTTTCATTTATTAGATGATCACAACACTCAAATCTGACAAGTATTAAGAATATACCATTTAAATTTTCTTCTGACATATTTATTTTCGAATGTGGTGCTTACTTTAGTTATTAAGAACAAAAATGATTAATTAATTTTATTATTAATGTTTGATATGAGCAGCAGCCGTATCCCAAAAATATTTTCCTTCAAGTTATCTTTTTCAAAGATACTGTTGCGCTCATGTACCTTTTGAAAGGACCGCCAAAATTTTTTGCGTCGTACAATGCTATGATGATGTCGGCATCGGCATCGTCGTCCGAAAACACATTTTGTTTCCGGACAATAACCTTAGTTTAAGTGAATGCATCTCTAAGAAATTTTACCAGAAGGTTCAATACCACAAAAGGAAAGTTGGGATTGATTTTGGGGGTTATGGTACCAACAGTTTAGGAATGAATTAGAGGCCAAAAACAAGCATTTTTGTAGTTTCCAGACAATAACTGGTGTGGTCTCTCTGAAATTGTACCACAAGGTTCCATATCACAAAGGGAAGGCTGGGATTGAGTTAGGGGGTAATTACTCCAAGAGGGGGGGTTGAAAAAGTTTGGGGGGATCTTTTTTTCCAATTTTTTTTTGCACAGTATTGCGCAATAGCAAGAAATCTACAATTGCACAGTATTGCGCAACAGCAAGAAATCTTCAATTGCACAGTATTGTGCAATAGCAAGAAATCTTCAATTGTACAGTATTGCGCAATAGCAAGAAATCTTCAATTGCACAATATTGCGCAATAGCACAGTATTGCGCAACAACACAGTATTGTGCAATAGCACAGTATTGCTCAATAGAAAGAAATCTTCAATTGCACAGTATTTCACAATAGCAAGAAATCTTCAATTGCACAGTATTGCGAAATAGCAAGAAAACTTCAATTGAAAATAAATACAAATCTTTTAACCATTTTCAGTGGGATTAATTTAAAGTCTTTAATTTTTGGGGGTTCTAACCTTGTATTACTTTTTTGGGTATTGGGCCCCATTTTTTAATTGGTCTACATTGAGGTCAAAAGGGTCCAAAATTAAACTTTGTTTGATTTCATCAAAAACTGAATTGTTGAAGCTGTATGATATTCTGAATCTTATTATGCATTTAGATTTTTTTTATTTTGGGCCCTGTTTTCAAATTAGTCCATATTAAGGTTTGAAGGGTCCAAAATTAAACTTTGTTTGATTTCAACTAAAATTAAATTTTTGGTGTTTTTTTTGTATGCTGAATCTAACCATGTTGTTAGATTTTGGATATCAGACCATTCTAGGTAAATTAAATGTCCCATTTCAAATTTTTAAGATCTTTGACCACATTTATTTTGTGTCAGAAACCTATATTATGTCAAAAATTTGATCACAATCCAAATTCAGACAGTATCAAGCTTGAAAATTGTGTCCAAACTTGCCCGAACTGTTCAGGGATCCACCTCTGCGGTCGTATCAGGCTGCGCTCAGGGAAGCATTTTATTGGAACATGAAATGGCAATTTTTAGTCAACATGTCAATTATGACATGCTTATAACTTCATTATGGTCATAATGAGGTCATAATTGACATTTTTGTCTTGAAATTACCAGATTTTACTATTCATTTGTTTGGTAATAATTAATAAATGATTTTGGAATCTTTTAAGACTTTTGGGGCAAATTTTCTTGTTTTTCAATAAAATAATGCATCCATTGAATTTTGTTTCTTCTCACAGTTGGCAGTGAGGCAGAAGGCAGTGTCAGATCAGGCGGAAGTAAACGAAGTAGGAGTAGAAGTCGAAGTCGTAGCGGCAGTCGTAGTAGGTCATCTAGCAGGAGTCGAAGCCGTAGCAGAAGCAGGACTCCATCACGAAGCGGAAGTGAAAAAGGAAGTGGAAGTGAAAGTGAGGCTGAAAGTGAACATGCAAAGAAAGATGAGGAAGAAATCTTTGGATCGGCTAGTTCTGATGAAGATTAATCTTGTATACTATAAAATGTTGTATACTTCAAATGAAAAAAAAATACTGTGACTTGAACTATGTTGGATAATGCACAATCAGAAAATAGTTCTGTTATTATACCAATTACAGCAGACAATATTATTTTCTGGATTTAACCAGACTCATTTTTCAGACAATATTATGATTATTTCATAATGTAAGTTCAAGTAGTTTTCTTGGATGTGACATTTCTAATAATACTTTAATGCATTTTTAATGGTATAAAAGTTCAGAGTTGAGTTTGAATTTTTAAGGTAGATGAGATCAGAGATTTGATGAAATCTTCTGATCCTTGAAAACATTTTCAGAAATCATGAAACACATTGTCAAATCATTGTTATTTGTAAAAAACTATTTTGCAGCCATTTCAGTTCACCTTTGTATTTTCATGTCATCATGAAATTTCGTTGCAAAATAAATTTAAAGATGTATACTCCATTTGAACATTATTTAAAGTTGAAACCATATTTATTAGTCCCCTACCGACGAAGTGGAAGGGGACTTTAGGTTTGCACTCCGTCTGTCTGTCTGTCTGTCTGTCTGTCTGTCTGTCCACCTGTCAGTCAAGCAAATCAGTTTTCTGCACTTTTTTCTTCTGCTTGAAAATATTGATTTGATATTTGGTGTATTGTTTTATCATGACAAGTTACAGATCAAGTTTAAATTTTGTTCCGGTCTGATGATTTTGTGTAAAGTTATGGCCCTTGGACTTGTCATGCTTGAAGATATTGATTAGATAATTGGTATATAATTTTATAATGACAAGTTACAGATCAATTTCGAATTTTGTTCTGGTCTGATGATTTTGTGCTGATTTTGTGTGTATGATGAGTCCTTAGACTTAGAAAATTCACTTAAATAATCAGTTTTCCACACTTTTTTTCGTCATACTTGAAGATATTGACTTGATATTTGATATATAGTTTACACCATGACAAGTTATAGATCAAGTTAGCATTTTGTTCCAGTACAATGAATTTTTAACCGGTAGGGGACTAACTATTGTATGCAATACTCTCAGAATGCTTGTTTTATTTATTAATATGATTTAGTACAGAATTCCTTATTTAATGCCGGCTGGTTATTCTTTTATTTTGACATTATGTCAGAAAAATGCTGACTTTCCTGACGAAGGATTGATTGTTGATTGCTTAACATCCAATGGCAAATATTTTATGCATGTTCGTGACAAGAACAAATTAACAATATATACAGAATTTCCTTGCAGTAATCCAGGATGTTGTTGTCTTTTTATAGTTTTAATATGTACAATAGGTAGGTCTTGTAATAGAGGTCAACCGAGATAAAATACGGGGTGGGAGATGTGGACTGCTACCTAAAAATGATGGTATAATTGATAGGGACAGAAATTTAGCCTTGCAACAGGCCACCTACAGACTGGCAAAAGAGTTGTTTTAACATGCTGAGAGCATGGCACTCTTTCTACGTGAGGCATCAGAATTAACATCCCCATTCTGACAGGACTTGGCATCCGTCGTCGTCAACTTTTACAAAAATCTTCTCCTCTGAAACAACTGGGCCAAACTTAACCAAACTTGCCCACTATCATCATTGGGGTATTTAGTTTAAAAATTGTGTCCAATGACCGGGCCTGCCAACCAAGATGGCCGACATGGCAAAAAATAGAACATAAGGGTAAAATGCAAGTTTTGTCTATTATTTTGAAAACCATAATAAATAGAGAGAATCTGACAAAAGCTCAAATGTTCAGAATGTTGAGCTCTACCATTTGTCCATATACGTCAAAACTGTCAGACGACTTCTTATAGGAGTTATTGCCCTTAAATAGCAAATTTTACCATTTTTAGCTCACCTGTCCCTTTCTCATCACTAGGCGTCCGTCGTCTTCGTCGTCTGTTAACTTTTACAAAAATCTTCTCCTCTGAAACTACTGGGCCAAATTTAACCAAACTTGGCCACAATCATTATTAAGGTATCTAGTTAAAAAAAATGTGTCCGATGATCCTGCCCGACAACCAAGATGGCAGACATGGCTAAAAATAGAACATAGGGGTAAAATGCAGTTTTTGGCTTATATCTCTGAAACTAATGCATTTAGAGCAAATCTGACTGGGATGAAAATGTTCATCAGGTTTAGATCTATCTGCCAAGAAATTTTCAAACGAATCAGACAACCCATTGTTTGGTTGCTGCCCCTGAATTGGTAATTTTAAGGAAATTTTGCAGTTTTTTGGTTATTATCTTGAATATTATTATAGATAGAGATAAACTGTAAACAGCAATAATGTTCAGCAAAGTAAGATCTACAAATAAGTCAACATGACCAAAATTGTCAATTGACCCCTTAAGGAGTTATTGCCCTTTATAGTCAATTTTTAACAATTTTTCGTAAATTTTTGTAATCTTTTACAAAAATCTTCTCCTCTGAAACTACTGGGCCAAAAAGAATCAAACTTAGCCACAATCATCATTGGGGTATTTAGTTTTAAAAATTTGTCTGATGACCTTGCCTGCCAACCAAGATGGCCAACATGGCTAAAAATAGAACATAGGGGGTAAAATGCAAGTTTTGTCTATTATTTTGAAAACCATTATAAAGAGAGAAAATCTGATGAGAGCAAAAATGTTCAGGATGTTGAGCTATACCAATGGTCCATATATGTCAAAACTGTCAGATGACGTCATATAGGATTTTTTGCCCTTAAAAGACAAATTTTACTATTTTTTTTCCTATTTGCCTACTATCTTGAAAACTTTAATAGATACAGAGAAACTTTAAGATGATCAGCAAGACAAGTTCTACAAATAGGTCAACATGGTCGAAATCGTCAATCGACTCCTTATTAGAGTAATTGCCCTTTGATGATGATTTTGACCAATTTTTTGCGTTTTTTGCCTTATATCTTAAAACTATAATAGACAGATAGAAACTTAGCTAGGCAAAAATAATCAGCAAAACAAAATCTACAATGAAGATAATAAAGAGGAAATGGTCAGACGACTCTTTATTGGAGTTATTGCCCTTTAAAGATGATTTTCACCTTTTTTTTTGCGTTTTGTCATACATGATAAAAATTATTATAGATAAAGATACACTTTAAATCACAAAAATGATCAGCAAGTCAAGATCTACTAACAAGTCAAATTTGGCTGATATAGTTAAGTAGACTATGACTCTTTACAAGAGTGATTGCCCTTAAATGATGATTTTTTTTATCCTCTTTTGTGTTTTGAGCAAAAACTAAAGAAGATAGAGAGATACTAAACAGGCTAAAAGATAAGCAATACAAGATCAACAAAACAGATTTTTGTCATGAATTCTATTCTTGTCTACAATGTTGGATTTTGATTTTTGATTTTTGATGTTTTAACGCCACTTTTAAGCACCGCTTTTGGGCTATTTAGTGGTGGCCAGTTTTTATTAGTGGAGGAAGCCGGAGAAACCCACGGACCTTCAATAGGAAAACTGACAATCCTAGTCAATTAAGATTGGAGATGAGTGCACCTGCACGAGCGGGGTTCGAACTCACAACCTCAGTGTTGACTGGCTAGTGATTACAGAAGTAACTACTTAGCCCACTCGGCCACCGAGGCCCCCTACAATGTTGGATAGTGTCCTTTGTTGAATATGCAGATAGACCTGAGACTACTATAACACTGTGTTATAGTAGTCTCAGGATAGACCAAGGTGAGCAACACAGGCTCTTTAGAGCCTCTAGTTTTCATTTTTGCCTACTATCTTGAAAATTATAATAGATAGAGAGAAACTTTAAATTGCAAAAATGATCAGCAAGACAGTTAAAAAATAAACCTTCATTATCTCAAAAATCTTGTTGCACATCTTCATTTGTGAAGGAAAAAGACTTAGATGTATCTTCTATTGAAGATGTGTGTCACCTGCTACAGCTATTATTAGTCCCTTATTGATGAAGTCGAACGGGAATATAGGTTTGCACTCCGTCTGTCTGTCCATCCATCAGTCTGGCAAATCAGTTTTCCACACTTTTTTCTTCATGCTTGAAAAAATATTTGGTATATAGTTTAACCATGACAAGTTACAGATCAAGTTCGAATTTTGTTACGGTCTAATGATTTTGTGCAGTTATGGTCCTTGTACTTCGAAAATTCATGCAATTAATCAGTTTTCCGCACTTTTTTTCGTCATGCTTGAAGGATGTTTGATACATAGAAAATATACCGTCTCCTGTTACAGTTTTGTACTTTTTTTATACTTTGAGGACTGAGCGAATCAGGTGACTGTGTGAGTTAGTATGTTTTATTTTATTACATTGTATTATGTTTGGGGAAGGTTAACTTTCTGGTAATAAGACCCGTCCCGGCCTGGCTGGGGAATTGGGTACGCAAATGCTCACATTAATCTGTACCGATACAGGCTCCAAATGTCCTCCTTTATACGCCATAACTCATGGTGGTGCTCCTTATAAAGGAGGCTCATACGGTGACAAGAAGAAGAAGAAGACATTGATTTGATATTTGGTAGATAGTTTTACCAGAGACATATATACACATATATATGTCTCTGGTTTTACCATGAAAAGTTACATCAAGTTAAAATTTTGTTTGGGCCGAATAATTTTTTTGCAGAGTTACGGTCCTCGGACTTAGAATATTCATACAAATAATGTCATACAATGCAATGTTTAATTTTTAATTTCAACTGCAAATTGAATGTAAACTTTACCTTTTAAGTGATCACAAGCATTTTGATTTGTGCTTCTTTCCTTTCTGACGAGTCGAGCCCTTTCCAAATGATTTTTAAAAGTTTGTTCTTATGTGAGGGGGGTGGACAGGGTGGTACCCTTTTCCAACCTCCCGCCCCCTATCTCCCACCTCCCACTTTTAGAATCTTTTTTTCTCTCCCACCTATTTTTTGTCTCCCACCTCCTTCAAAAGCTGTCCACCCCTCTTATGTTGTGTTGTTATTCCATGCCACTTAACCTAGACCTCATTTTCAATGATTGGTCAACATTATATGCAGGGCTGCCAAGTCTTACGCAATTAGCGCGATTAGCGTGAGACTCACGCATTTTCATGCATATTTGGCAGCATTTTCCTTTGATCCATTGTTTTTTCTGTATGGTCTTTACAATTTTGGCCAAATCTCACGCATTTGCTTCATGAAAACTTGGCAGTACTGTATATGGTACATTGGTTGGTTGTAAGGAATATATAACCTTGACCTCATTTTATGCGCTTCAGTGACATGAAATTACAAAATATAACAGTTGTTATGTGTTCTTGTTAAAGGAAAGACCTGTAGGTGTTGACTGTCTTGTCATCTGGACTTAGTTTGAGCGTTGGTTTACCGGCGTCTTACTCTTGTCATCTGGACTTAGTTTGAGCGTTGGTTTACCGGTGTCTTAACTCTCAACCATGATACCGTTTTGTAGGGTGTTCATCCCTCTTATTCATATGATGTTATTTACAA